AATGCATTCATTTAACAAACAATAACAATTCGGCAACAACACCAGGTCTGTGTACATTACAGCAAAAAATCGAAAATTGAAAACCCAAAAAGAATATATATATATACCCCACCCAACCCAATCAAAATTATATAGAACACACAACAACCCCCCATTGCATATCCCCAAAATAATCACCGAAATGATACCACAACACCGATGTGTTTGAGAATAATTACTTAGAACAGTCCAGTTTGTAAATAAATAAAAGGAATCCTCCACCCATTCAGATACTTTTACCATTCAAAAAAGCTAAGAAACGTTTACTTGTCATTCTTTTTGTATTGTCGGGTCTTCGCCACCTTGAAATGTTTACGAAATCGAAAGTTTTAAAGTTGGGGTTATATAAAATAATTTATTTAAATGCTTATAGAATTTATATATTTTTATGGATGCATCAGAAGGATTTAAAAACAATTAAGAATGTACCCAAAAATAGGCAATATATTCCTTGAAATAATTAAGTTTATACTAAAAAGTATTAAACTAACATTTAAACAGATCATAATTAAGAGATCTATAAATAAAAATTCACATTTTTTGGTAAGATAAATTTACAAATTAAAAAGGTTTTCGGGGAACTAGAAATTTTGTTTCGATTTCAAGGTGGTTCATGCCCCTCTTTGATCCTTTGATTCCTTGCCTTGCCTTACTCACACGCACTGCCCACACATGCATACAGTTACACAAAGACACACACAATGTCACTATAGGACACACCGAAAACTTAAATGTATGCTTTGTACCTATGTATGTAGCTTAGTTGCACCCCACCATCCGCCGCCGTTCAGAATTCAAAAGCGAAGAGCTCGACGGCACTCTTGCATGCTCCCAAGGGGAGGGGAATCTTTGATTTGTGCGTCAGTCCATTGATCGTTTGCATTGCATGTCTGGGCTGCCTTAAAAATAAACCTTATCGTCCTTAACATGTGTGAGACTTGTGTGCTATGTGCGAGTGTGCGGCATGACAATTGAACCTTCGACGCACTCGAAGCTGTTTTCCAATTAGCCCCCTCAAAGACGTCAGTCCCCCGAGAAAGAACACCACCCCTAATCAGGGCCCTCCAATTGATAAACCCCAGGATTTTTGTTTGTTTTCCGCCCAGTTTTCCCCCCTTTTTCCCGTCACTTTCACTACACTTGTCGTGCTGTGAGTTTTTCTTACTTTTCTTTTTGATTAATCGGTGCATGGCTTTGAAGCCGGAAATTTCGGCCTCTGGAAAATATGGCCACTTGCCCCACCCCACATTCTCATGGTCATACAATAAAAGAAAGCTTAAATTATATATTTTCGGTCCGCGTTTTTATTTTTATTATTATTTACACCCGGTTCTCTCTCGGCTCCTTGGACTGGGGAAACCCCCTCTTGTCAAGCGCGTTCTATTTTCGGGACCTATTATTTGTGGCCGCCATACCGTCTCACGATTCTGTTTATCTTGTCTTGTTTGGTCTCGTCCGCATGTCTCTGTCCCCCTAGACTCACCCCCTCCCTCACAGCCCCCGTCCCCCACTGGGGTCAGTGTAATAGTGCTGTTTCTGGAAATGTGGAAAGAAGAAGTTTCTAAGGCGACTCTGACAAAAAAATTATTTATAAATTGCCTTTCAAACTATGATCTTTCTTCAGCTTTCACACCTCCATTTCCACCTGCTATTATATTGACCCCTACCTTGGCTTGCCTGTTACTCGAATATACATCTGGTTAACTTGCCCCATTTCTCCATTTTATGCTCCTCACAGATCGCGGCAATGACAGCTCCGGGAACGAGGGAAATGCCGGCTATACGGATGGACAGAACTCGGATCCGCAAAACAGTCCGCCGCGGGACAAGGATTATATGCGACTGCAGCAGATGCAGATGCAGCATCAACAGCAACTCACTCCGGTTAGCTCGGTGGCTGCCAGCTTGGGTAGCGGCAGTGTGATAACTCCTGCCCAGACAGAGAAGAGATCGCGGCTGTTCCGGACATCCAGCAATACGCCAGGAATCATGGGAAGCGGCGGTGGTGGCAACAGTTCCAGTGTCAGCGTTAGCGCCTCGGGTGGCGGCAAACGGAAGCACACATTAAGCCTGAGTGCAGAGCCCAGATCCATGCTGGAGACTTGCCTGTCGCCCACCAACGTGGAGCCACGCAAGCTGCTGCTCGACCAGCTGAGTCGCGTGTTCGCCGGCGAGGACAGCGCCATACCGGAGGTGGTGACCATAATCAGTCCACCAGAGGCGCTGGGCGGCAGCGTTTTGCTGGCCAAACTGGTCACGCTCTTTGCGAATTCCTTCAAGCCGGCCTTCGTGCCCCAGAACACGGCCGAGGTGAAGGCGGTGCTGCAGGCGCTCATGGCCAAAATTCAAAAGTAGTAAGTATTGCCTGATATTGGGAGATGGAATGGTTGCTCTAATTGTTTATTGGCATTCCTCAGTTGCAACTCGAATGCCAAGCCGCCGCATACGGTCAAGGTGCTGCTCATTGGCGGGGACTGGTTGCAGGGAGCCACCCTACGGCACTACGTGGAGCTGATGGGAGTGCGGCCGCCAGACTGGCTTAATCACCTACGATTTTACCTTGTGCCTGTCGGTGGCACCTGCGGCAGTGTGGCGCGACATCTCAGCCAGATGGATCAGGCCTATGCGGCAATGTTCGGCTCGGACAACTGGGCGCAGCTGTGCGAGCGGGCAGCGGCCACGGCGGCGGCGGTCAGTGCGGTGACCACAGTGAATGCCACGGCCCTGACGGCAAACCTGGCCGATGCGGCGGGTGTAGCGAAGTCAGATATCGCGGAATTGGTGCAGCGCATCCAGCGTTACCTGCATGCGGCCGGACCTTGCACCCAGATACCCATCGCCGAGGCCATGGTCAACTACAAGGACGAGGACTCCTGCCAGATCTTTGTGCCGTTCGTCAGCGTAAGCCCGAGATGAAACTATTAATATGTCCATGGTGTAATCGCAATGGTTTCCTTTTGCAGGATGTTCGCATTGGTTATCTTGACACACAGGCCTCGCTGGATCTTGAGGAGAATGCTGGTGGCTCCAATGCCACGGGCAGCGGACTGGGCTCTGCATCCGCCTCCAGCACGGCCATCATCCCGATTGGCAGCCAGAGCTCGCCGAATATGCATGGCGTTGTGTTGTCTGGATCTCCGCCCCAGCAGCAGCAGAGCATGGGACGCATCTCGCCGCCGCTGCAGACACCGCCGTCATCGGCTTCCTCGCACCGGGAGCGAAATACCAGTGAGTCCCTGAGTACTCCCTCCTCACTGCAGCAGCAAACCTTCAGCGGAGCTCTGGCAGCAGCCGAGGCGGTGGAGCTGCAGGTGGACTACTGGCCACTGGTGAGGCCGGGCGAGGGACATGCCAAAGAGTCGAAGGGCAGCACGTCCAAAGGCAGCGATGCCGGCGGCAAAAATAGCATTAAGAGTACGTTTAGGAACCTGCAGGTGTGGCGTCTGCCACAGCATGCACAGCAATTGGGTGATATGTTCAATGGACTGACTGTTAGTTTCGCCACCAAGGAGAAGAAGCAGAAGCAAAGTGAGTAGTCGCCACAATTCGGAAATTACCCTTAATCATTGCTATTTGCTTTCCCTTGTAGTTATGCGTTTGGGCAAGAAAAAGGATAAGGAGCGTGATCTCGAGAAGGAGCAGTGCGTGGAGGGTGTGGCACGCCTGATTTGCTCACCCAAGCAATCGCATCCAGTGCCACTAAGAGGTAAGTGTTTTCCACAGTTCCTGGAGGCTTCGATTCCACTAATATCCCCTTTTACTTGGCAGTGTACATTGATGGCACCGAGTGGACGGGCGTCAAGTTCTTCCAGGTATCGTCGCAATGGCAGACGCATGTCAAGAACTTCCCCATTGCGCTCATCGGCTGCACACCCATGTCCTGTGCCGAACTATCCTAGTCATTTTAAAACCCCGAGCTCATGCGACGATTTGGACCCGACTCACCCTCCTCCTCCTCCTTACAAAAGGACACAGATACACAAAGCAGGGGAGCCGGAGCCAGTCACTTGCGCGGCAATAAATATATATTTAAAACAAAAAAGAATGATAATTTATATTTATATAATTAGTATTTGTAAATTTTTAGTTAATAAACAAGAGTTTAGCCTGTAACGATTTCATTTAAGTTCATTTCCGCACTCGATATTGTGAATTAATCGGCGACAGAAAACAGACAAACAGACACTGTACCCCACATCTACACAGCTTAAATATATGCTTAAAGTAATTATAAACGTACGAACAACGCGTATCAAAACATGTAGTAGTTTCCATTTCGAGAATTTCGATGGACCCGTTGCTCTTGCCCTTCGGCATGTTATAGCGTATTGTATATCCTCCCGCCAGCCAGAAGCAGTAGGCCCCACATGATCTCAAAATCGTTGCTTTCTGGCTGGGCCCAACTACCTATCAAACGTATCTAAATGTTATGTGCGCAGCATTGCTAAGGCTAATTAAGAAAATCCTGACATATTTAACCAAGCCCGTCGTCTATGTAACTACCTAAAGTCGGAAAAATATCTGTGTGTGAAATTATATACAATACATTTACTATTTAAAGGATATAGTATGCCTATCTTATCTGAACCATATACAAACCATGTGTACTACTCTTATTGTTGTGATTTTGTGAAATTTCCAAGTGTGAAGCGAATATTTATACATGTATACATAAATCTATATACAGACAGCAGCCGCTTAGCTGAAGATAGTTCGATATATCATCGATGTACTATATTATATTCTATATATACGCCTCCCCCACCCCCTGAAATTCGCATTCGTTTCCCCGTAGTAATTGCGAACCGATTAAACACGAAACACTGCGTGAGAAATGAGAAATTATGAGAATGAGAGGGAGGAGCGACGATCATGGTGCGTAGATTGCGTTGAGCAAAGTGGAAGTATTATAAGGCGTGTGTGTATTTATAATTGTACTATTAAATATATATTAAAGTTAAATACGACAATTTTTGGTCTCTTTATTGAACACAAGTGTGTGGTCAGCGCACATGAAGCACCTGCTGGGGCAGGCCATTGACTAGAATAGAGCGCTCGTTGAGGCCCAGGGGGCCGCATATGCCACCCGGTGGCTGCAGGAAGTCATTGTCCGGATATCCTTTGGGCTGGGCGAATTCCCTTAAATTGGCATTGCTTTCGCTCAGCGCGTCCAAAGACCAAACGGCCAGATTGTGGGTCTTGCCATGGCGGGCCAAGACAAAGTACTGCGGGGGAAGATCAGTGAATAGAAGAAGTACTCTTACAGGGAGCTTACATTATCCTCTACGTCCACCAGGAAGCCCACAATGAGAGCCCAATGAGCTCGGTGTCCCGACTTCAAACAGGGGGCATGGTTTACATCAGCATCGTAACTTTTGGGAGAAAAACATAAATGATTCAAGGATAACCAGCAAGGATAAAGCCTATGGATTCTTAACAAGAGAAAAACGATTTTTTTTAGGACATTTATTAACCTATACAGATACAATTCGTATAAATGCAGGTGTGAATACACTTAAAACTGAAGCACTCGCGCTAGCCTACTCTCATGGGCGGCGACACCAGAATGACGCCGTCGCCTCGCACAAACAGCATGGGAATGGTGCGCTTCGCGGTCTTGTACACCTCCTCGTAGGTCTCCTCGTCGATCTCCACCGTGGTCACCGTCTCCTCGGCGTCGCCCAAAACCATGTTCAGATGCTGATCGAAGGCCTGCCAACAGTGTTATTTTAAAGGAATGGCAAAGGAATGCACACTTCTCGAACTTACATGGAGGCGTCCTCGCAGCTCCCGCTCGTTGCGCATCTTCACGTACACCTTCTCATCCAAGCTCAGCCGGATGAGATCCAGGGGCTCCTTCACCGGCAAAATTACCTGGCTAAGCTGCAAGTTGAGGAATTAGCGGGCTTTCTTTGTTATTTACAGCTTCCACTTACCTGTTCCTCTTCGGTGGCCATTTTATCAAGAAATTTTAACGTTTTGTTTAGAAATAAGCAATAAATTGCAATATTTTGCAAAATTCAGTCGGCTTATTTTTAATTTTTAACACTAAACATGCGCGACTTTAGCAGCACTTGCTGATAACAGCGTGCTGTTAACCGGTCTACCGTAAATGTTAGGCGCAAACGGGGGTAGAAATGCGGGAAACCCGAACTTTGACTTGGTTTAAACTCAAATCAGGGAGCTACTTTTAAAAAGGATACGGCACTAGCAGACAGCCCCCAGCGTTCAGCAGATCCTTGACTTTTTTGCAACTTAAATGACCCTGGTGCAGCTGGCTTGCTCCAGGTCCTGGCAAGTGTTTTCGCGTCAGCTCAAACAAATACTGAGCACTAAAAAGTTCTCCATTTATAGTAAATTCCTGGGCAATGGCATCCTCTAGAAGATTGGCGACTGTGGGATGTCCTCCTAGCAAAATGCTCAGGGCTGTCAAACCGCAGGTCGGGCCAACCTACATATTATACATCAAAACTAAATCCTTGAAAACTATGTATAACTCCCTGCAGTCCAGAACTCACTTGCAATGTGCTGGATACGGAGTAGTACTGGCAGTGTTTCGGTGGATTATACTGGCACACGCGGCTGAGATAGCATCCTTTCTGTAGCTCCGGGTATTCCCAGGCCCAACTGCACTCGTCACTGGTTATTTTGACAACTTGCCGTTCTCTGGCCACAACCGGTGTCACGGGAGTGACTTTTAGGGGAGGCGCCGGAGGTGGCGGTGGAGCGGCCACAGGTGAATTGTGTGACATTGTTACCGAAAATAAATAAATTAACTTGGCTAATTAACAGACTCAGCTGTTTGGGCCAAATATAAACAATTAACATTGACCTGATATCGATAATCGATAAATCACTGTTGGCATATTTGTCATCGCTAGTTTGTAACTGCCGCACAGTGGTAAAGCTACTTCTAACCCAAAAGTAAAAAAGAAACTCCCCATTTTAGCTTAATTGTATATGATTTATTGTAAACTCTTCATTGTTTATTGCGTAAATTAAACCAAAAGCATGAAAATAAATCAGTGGAATAAAGTACATACCAGATATAGGCAATTTACATATATGTTTTACCGAAAAACAAGGAGCAATTTTACATGGAATACTATTTATAGTTATATGATATACTATACGAGTAACGTAATTAACTAATCAAAATTCACACTCGAATGTCTTGCAAGGGCATTTAGTAGGTATTTGGATCTGAGCCGATCAGGATTCGATAGTGCGGAAAAATTTGTCGTTAATTACATTTAAAAAAGGTTAGTTTTCTTTATTAAATTTACAATCACAAGATTTTTTTTGTTTTGTTTTCGTTTTTTGCTTCGAAGATACTTGTATACTCAATGTTGTTGCTGTTGTTGTTGCAAAGCCAGCAGCGGTTGCGTGCAAAATTTTACTAATTAAATGGCAAAAATAGTACTAGGGAGAAGGCGGGCGTTTATAAACATGAATTGTTAAATACGAGAGCACACAGAGCACTGATTTTTACTTATTAAACGGTTGAGTTGTAGTTTTGTTTGGTTTCCAGTATATTGTGGTTAAAGCCCTTGCCAGAGGCCTTGCCTAGAGTCTGATGCGTCTGCCCATGTTGAGTCTGAATCTGATCTTTGCATCCTATCTGTTAATTAATTACTATGCTGTTGCTGAAATTGTTTTACTTAAACATAGAACACTCCTCCATTGTCGTCCACCGAGTTGCTTGCTTCTCATGTTCATATTATTATGTTGGAAATATTATTTAATAATATAGATTGTGTAATCATCCGTGCTGCGTCTGCTATTGCATTAGCACTGACAGTTGTCAGGGTTCGAAGGACGATTGGATTGTGGGCCCAAGGTGATCTGATCGGGGAAATCGTTGATGACCTCAGCCTAAAACCAAATATTAAAGCGTTACACTTAAAAGGTCTGAAAGCAAAAAGGAACTGATGCTGCTGATACGCACCTCCGCCTCCAACTCGAGCGCATTCTTGGCTATGATCTGAAACGCCATCTCCACGTTGATGCCCTCCTTGGCGGACGTCTCGTAGTAGGGTATGTCGTTCTTCGATTGGCACCACTGTTGTGCCCGACGCGTGGACACCTGACGGTTGTCCAGGTCCACTTTGTTTCCTAGCACCACGAAGGGGAAGTGCTCGGGATCACGTGGACTGGCCTGTATTAAAAACTCGTCGCGCCAGGAGTCGAGATTCTTGAATGAGTTGGGCGCCGTCACGTCGTAGACGAGCACACAGCAGTCGGCGCCGCGGTAGAAGGCCACACCGAGCGACTGGAAGCGTTCCTGGCCAGCAGTGTCCCAGATCTGCACGTAAATTGCAAATATTTGGCGTCTTATTATAATGGGCGGAAATGGAAGACTCTTGCGAACTTACCTGCATTGTGACAACTCGGTCGTTGACAACCACCTCTTTCGTGCAGAAATCAGCTCCGATCGTGGCTTTGTATTGGTTGGAGAAGCGTTTGTTTACATACTGGTTCATAAGCGAGGTCTTGCCCACGCTGCTGTCACCCAGAATGATGACTTTCAGGAGTGATTTCTTGCGGCTGGCCATTGCTATGTATGTTGGGGGGCTGGTTTACTCGTATGCGATGGTTCCTTCGTTTGGATTTTGGCGCTTGCTGCAAGTAGAATCGATTTGCTTGTTAAAAATACCAGTACCTAATGCGATTACAAGGGGGAAAGGAAATAGCCACTCGGCGTGGCAACAGCTGGGTTGGTCAGTGCATGATGGGACGGACAACAGTGCGAGGCACTGATCCATTCAACGCGGTGATAAACGCGCAAACCCATGAGTCATCCTGTGCAGTACACAATGAGTGATCGCAGTACAGTGATAAGCGGAGGGGGGAGGTTTGGCTGGCCCGCATAGGGGCGATAAAGCGTGATCACTGCTTATTAGCTGGCGAAGCTGCGGAGAAAGTGAGCAAGAGCCACAAACAAAGACCGAGGTCACTCCGAGTAATAGATGAACGGACACCACCAGCGACAACGGTCAAACAGGGAAAACGCCCATTTCCAGACTTCCTCGCCTGAGCCTGGAGGGGGAGTGACCGTGTGGCAGCAATTGAAATTAGTGCGAAATGGCCGAAAAGGCTGATGCCACCCGCTACCCCTCCATGTAGCCTACGAACAACTTGTTTTTGTGCACCACAGCACACACAAATACACACAGCCAGCACACCATTACGGCGGAGCACGCGTCGGTGTGCGTGGGCCTTTGTGTGTACATTCGTGTGTATGTTCGATGGAGCCCCTCCAATGGCATTTTCCGTGTGTAGTTTTTGCCTGCTGCGTAACACCTTTTTGGGCACTGCAGCTTCGTTTTTCACAATTTTTTCCTCGCACTGGCACTTACTATGAACACTAATCGAACAGTCTTCGAGTTGTTTCTTTGTGGTTCGTCTCGATTTTACGAAAATACTCAATTAATTACGCAGTGAATTTTGTTGTTGTCTCGCCAGGAGAATCGCTCATCACTAATGGCCAATCGATTGCACAACATCGGTAGGTGTTGCGCGAGACCCATCGATAAGTCTGGCTCTATCTGTGGCGCTAGCCAACACTGTTTTATCAGCCCAATTAACGTATCCTATTTTTGTTGAAATTATCACTGAAAACTATTGACAATACCGTTAGGGACCTAACGCTGCCACACGCTGGACCCTGGGGCATAAGGAGGAGCCAAGAATCGACATGGCCACGCTACCGCCGCGCAAGAGTCAGACGCCAACGCGGATCTGCATTTCTAAGCAACATCTGACGCCGCTCCAAACATTGCTCCAAATGGGCTTTCCCAGGCACAGGGCGTGAGTATTAACTGCGTCCTTTCGGATGGCAGTAATCCAGACCAATCCCCTCTTCAATAGAGGCTGGCCCGGTTAGATGTCGGCCAGCAGAAGAGGTCGCAGGTCGAGGGAAGATGATTATTGATTTTTTTCTACGCCCGTAGGGAGAAAGCCCTGGCTTCGACGGGCAATCGAGGCGTTCAGATTGCCTCCGACTGGCTTCTGGCCCATGTCAACGATGCCACGCTGGACGAGTGCGCACCCAGGGAGTACATTATCTACGCCTGCCCCACGGGCCCGTTTCTCCAGCAGCTGGAGGAGTTTTGGGCCAAGTCGCGACAAATGTGCGGCTGGAACGGAGCCCACAATTACGTGCCCCACATAACGCTGGTCTCTTTTTTTAAGGTAATCTTTTGGTAGAATTTTCCTAGCCGAAATTGACCCCCTTCGACCTTTTTGCAGGCTCCAGATGAATGTTCGCTGCAGTTGTCGAAGGCCCTTAAGCAGGTGGTGGACATGACTGGCGCTCTGCTGGATCGTCCGCTCAAACTGGAGCCGTACATGAGCCAGAACTTTATGGGCTTCTTTGTGTCCGAAGAGGACGCCAACTATCTGAAGCGACTGGCCCTGCAGTACGTCAAGGAGGTGTCCAACTCAAGTATGCCCCCTCTGTTGGTTGCGCACTCTCTTTGGGTTGTTTTTTGGTTTACCTTTCACACGTTTCTGTTTGATTCGGTTAACGGTTTTCCCCAAGTTTCGGAGTGGCTTACGGTTATGTTATATTCTACTCTCTTCCTGCTACCTGCTACCCACTAATCCTCGGAATTGGAACGCTGCACAGTCATAAGCGACACCTACGAACAATTGGACGCCATTGTGGCCTGCTTCCCGTGGTGCGGAGCTGTTTCCTCGGGCACTCGCTGCATTCCACGCAGCAGTCGATGTAAGCCAATAGCCTAGCCTAGAACCATTGATTTCAGAAAATGGGCCTCATCTGCTTATCTGCTAGCCCATTCAATAGAAACCCACTCACCCGAGCACCCTCTTATCACTCGATGCATGCCTAACCCCTCGCTTTAGTAGATAATTTACTAATTTTGACGGAACTCGTCGTGACGCTGCTAATTGTAGTTTGTTATTCGCGGTAAGAGCTTTATGTACTAAGGTGGGTCGATTTGATTGGTTCCTTTCTTGCTTTCTTTCATACTTTTGAAATTCACTCGGAATCGGATGTTGGACTGCCTAAAAATTATTTGAAATATAATTGAATTATAATTATTTCAAGGCCAAACATCCAAATTCTGATAAGTATGACGTTGGGCTTTACCTAAAGATTACATTTTGCGATTATAAATTTTATGATTACATTCCTTATCGAAATATCGAGTCACCCTAGACACAAAAGCGCTTATAAGCAGCTTGACCCGCTCTCGGTTGTAGTCAGTAATGGGCCGTCCCAACCAGCGACCGGTCACTAATAGCTTCTATCTCCGACTCTGACTCCCCGTAGCCATCTCACTCGAGCCACACGTAAAGAGCCTGCACCTGACGCTCGCCTACCAGTTCCCGCAGGCACAGTTTAATGCACTGAAAGCACTCGTGGAAACACTAGACGCCAGCTGCGCCTCCAATTGGGAACTGCGCCTATATTCCCGCGATCCGCGGCTCGCCACCAAACAAGTTAGAGCGCTCTACAGCCACCTCTCGCGATGAGTTCTAATTCCGAATTGCTTTCTTTGCAGGTCCAGAAGGTCGTATATCCACACAACCCGCACGAGACGGATGAGCTTGAGCTCCGGATCGGCGACTATATCTACCTAAACAGCGACGTGGTGGACAGCTCCAGTGACGGCTGGGCAGAGGGTATTTCCTGGCTAACTGGTAGCACGGGTCACCTGCCAGTCAACTACACCGAGCGTACGGCCGAGTCGGACGCCTGGACTTTGCATCGAGTGGTGCAGCTGTCGAAGAGCGTGGCATCTTCGCTGACCTCAGCTGAAGATCTGGACATTGTGGACGGGCGCAGCATATCGACGGAGCCCGAGGAGCGCCAGCGTGAGTTGCAGCAGGGTAGGCTATCAATTCTTGATTAGAACTGAGCAGTTGTGGCTGGTGTTATCAGGAAAATTACCCAGTCATTCTACGTCATATCATTCTGACTCAATTACTCTCTTACTTAATATTCAAAAGCTAATTAAAAGCTTTAATTTTATGTCGACCAAGTTATATTTTATTAAAATGTCACAAATTTATCTTTTTTTTTTGTAGATACAGCTCATCCCGAGATAATTGAGGGGTCATCTTTTGAGGAATCCGAGCAAAGTGTTGAGAAATATTTGCGACAGACCCTGAAGCCCTGCTTGGAACTTCCCTCCGTGCAGCTGCTCAACAGCCACAACCTGACCCATCAACACAATCCAAATACGCCCACAATTGAGATTACGACCAATATGTCCTCCTGCTCCACTTCCATATCCAAGCAGCCGGTGGACGAGATCATGGTGGAACCGCCGGCCGCTCAGCCGCCGCGTCCAGACGACACACTCAGTGTCCACTCCGACCACTCGCTGCACCCGGGTTCCATGGATGCCTCGCACGCCAAGAACCGAAAAATCTACATTATGAGGCATGGCGAGCGTGTGGACTTTACTTTTGGCACGTGGATTCCGTACTGCTTCGATGAGTTCGGTAACTACATGCGAAAGGATCTGAATATGCCCAAGGCTCTGCCACGCCGAAAGAATAGCCCCGAAGGCTGGCAGAATGACTCGCCGCTGACCAATGTTGGCGTGTACCAGGCCAATCTTATTGGCCAGGCCCTGCTGGAGGCCCAGGTGCAGATCGACCATGTCTACTGTTCGCCCTCGTACCGCTGCATCCAGACCTGCACCAGTGCCCTGGAGGGGCTCAAGCTCACGGGCAAGCACAAGATCAAGGTGGAGCCGGGCCTATTCGAGTGGATGGCCTGGTATCCCAGTGGGGTGCCCGACTGGTTGACCAAGAACGAGCTGGTCGAGGCCAAGTACAATGTCGATCTGGACTACGAGCCTGTGCAGCCGTCTTCCGACCTGACCGTTCGCCTCAAGGAGTCCACGGAGCAGTTTTACGAGCGCAACCACGACGTTATCCAGCAGCTGCTAGAGCAGACAAGTGAGTGGCTCCCTGAAGAGGTTTCCCTATAGATGCACTCATTCTTGTATTCCCCCCTCCCTCCAGCTGGAAATATTTTGGTTGTGGCCCATGCGACCACACTGGACACATGCTCTCGCCAGTTGACCGGCGGCGCACCTCGCAGCACGAACGAACTGCGTCAGGTCATTCACAAGATCCCGTACTGCAGCCTGGCCACGGTAGAGCAGGTGGATGGCGTCTGGAAGCTGGTGGAGCCCGAGTGCCTGCCGGTGACGCACTCGAAGAATCCGCGCTTCGAGTGGAATGCCCTGTCGACCACCTAGTGCCAGTGTTTGGAGCAGTTTCTTTGCAAGCACTGAGACGCGAAAAGTGGTTCGATGGAACGGAATATACGTAAATTGATGTTTAGGTAACTGAAAGTTCTATGATTTGCTGCTCAGGCATGGACGCTTAACTAAGGTGCTTGAAACTGCCATTAAAAGTGAAGTTATAGGCGAAAGAAGCGATTTTAGTTGCGTTGATTGGTACAGATATATGGTCAAATCCATCATATTAAACAATAATTAACTTAGCTTGCCTCTGGACACATACTTTATTGCAGCCAATGCGATCTATCCACTATATATATATATTGAATATATGCCAGTAATTATAGTTATTGAGCGCTTGCTCTCCGCTTTAGCCCCAGTTTAACTTGCTGTTACTAGCTTAGTTGTTTGGAGCACTCGATTAGCCTTGCTGCGTAGCGCAGCTGCATTTTGTTAGCTACCTAAATATATATCCAGCGTACGGAAAGCCCCAAAACACACAAAACACACATACATATATCGATATTATCGACTAGATATAGAAGTACAAACTGGCCCATGTAACAACGCACAACATAATGGAACAATAAACTATTTACACACATTATCTTGTACTCCACTGAGTATGTATTTCGCTTTCGCGATCCCCCAGAGGAAGGAGGCAACATTTGGCATTGTCTTGTGCGACTCGGAAGGGGTCGGCCTTTATTTAATGCGAATATAATTAGAATTAGTAATGTAATTGGTTTAGTTGTTAAATCTATTAATATATATAATTGCTGAACGTATTACTTGAATTGCATATCTGCTGCGTTTTGTATTGTATATGGATTCGGTAATATATAACCTATATATACTATATGCTTGCTTTGTTTAGTTTGTGTCTGGGTTTGATTTAAAAGAAAAACCAGCAAGGCGCTTCGTCGGAAAGAAGTCCCGCTGCCGCTTAAGTATGTTAAGCATTTAAAAGTTACATAAACGTAATTAAAGGGCGATCAATTCACGTACGCCCAACGTTTCAAAGAAGATGAAGATCAGCAGAGGGCGTCAAATTGCCAGCGGAGGAGATGCACAGCTGTTGGCTCAGGCGAACGGCCGCCATGCTGGGACGAACTCAAAGGCAAGCAGCAGCACGAGGACGATGGCCAGCAGGCTTGCCCTCAGCCAGGATCATCGCCTTGCCGGCGGCCTGTCCAATTGTTAGCACTGCACTTTTCCGAACTGGGCGCGCCGTTCCTGATGCTCCCGGTACTCCTTGTAGTGCATCTGGATCTCCTGCGAGCGGTAGCGCGTCAACTTGATAGACTTTCGCATCTCCTGGGTGATGGCCGCCCGATAGCCGCCCTTGCGCAGCAGCGAATCGATGGTCTGCAGCTGATCCCAGCCCTGTTCGGTGGCCACCTGCGGCAGGTAGGTGGCCGTCCGCTTGCAACCGCGTTCCGTAAGGAACTCTATGCGGATCCCATGCACACCCAGCTGCCAGTCCAAGTGACCCTGTGCCTCCTCAAAATTCTGCAGGATCGACACTGAGACCGTCAGCCGTGGCAGCTCGTCGCGTGAAATGGGAGCGAAGCGAGAGTCCTTAAAGGCGCTGGTCAGGGCGTACTCCCGCAGACCATGATGCAGCTCCATGGCGCTAAAGGTGCCAATGCAGCCGCGCAGCCGCTTGTCGCGCCCAATCTTCCAGGTGACGAACAGCGGATAGGCGTCGTTGCTGAACATCGGCATAGCCGGCCCGTCCACGTTGTTCAGCTCGCAGTCGAGCACCTCGAAGCAAAAGAGGCACATATCCGGCACCGCCACGCTCTTCATGCCGCCGCCGCCGTGGCCGTTGGAGAACCCCCGCTGCGGCTGGTGCACCATCTGCTGGTGCTGGTACTCGCCGTTGTCCCCATTGCTGGAGTGCGGCTGCTGCTGCTGGTAGTTGTTGTAGTGGGAGTTGGACATGCTGCTCGTTAAGTCAAGTATGCTAATTACGTTAGGTAGGCTACGATGGCTACGATGAGTGTATATTAAGGTTATAGCTAATGGCAGTGCACGTTGATGCTCCTAGATCAATAATAACACAACAGAACAGCCCCAGGAAGGAGTTGCACAGAAACGCCAGCCAAGCGTCCTCTAATCCAAGTGTGGGATCGTCCTGGAAGGATATGGGAGGGGGGGTGTGAGTATCGCCAACGGCCAGTAGGGGCGATCGCTTACCCTCTGCTGGGCAAAACTAGGTCACCTGCTGCTCTCCAGTGTCCGTTGATTTTGACGTAAAGCCTAGCTCCTAGCACCTTGCACCTCGTGATCCAGTTCCAGGTCCGGACCCCGATCCGTCGCGTCTCCGTGTTCCTTGGCTGCCGTCCTGCTGCTTAGCTAGAGCTCATAAGCACTTCATCGAACTGCTGTCCGCTGGTCCGCTGCCGCCGCTGCTTCTGCTGCGTCTGTGAACAAGGGAATGGAGGATTGGGGGAGTGCCTTTTTTCACGGGGTCTCCACTTCGCCCGAGCGATCTTCACCTTTCGTTTCACAACAGGCCTCTATCGGAATGCGGAATGCGGGGGAAAGAGTGGCGGAGAGACGGAGGAGAAAGCAGGCGAGCACTGCAGTTCTCGCTGTCTCTGTCTCACTGCCCCCTATCGCTTTAATTGCTCTTTGTTCGCATTGCCAGTTCCCCCACCCCCGCGCTGAGCAAGGCCCACGCTCTTAAGCATGCACACGGTTCTTAGTTTTGGGTGGCCAATATAGGGATATTCGGGCACGTCAGGTGCCTTTTAAGTACTCTATTTTACCTTTTATTAATGTAAACAAATTTTACACTTTTTTACGAGTTCAGGGCAAACTAGAGATGGGCGTTCCACGGCCAGGGCCTCCGTTATTTATCGGAAGGCGTCTATCGATGCAGTTCTGGCACCTTCCAACACTACTTATCGATAGGCGCAACAACCCAGTTTTCCCCTAGAATTGTTTTATTATTATTTTTGGGTGAAAACACAAAATGGCCCTGGCCAACGTGCTGCAGCTCAGCCAGATCGCTGGCCATGTCATCCTGTTCATCCTTTCGCTGTGTATCGTTGTGCCGCTGTTCATCAACCTCGACCAATTCTGGTAGGGATCAAGTGCGCAGTTTTTGCCCCCTGTGAATTAATAAACTTTTAATATACCCGCAGCGGACACTGTCTTCTCTTTACGACTGGCAAATGGCGAGAGGAGGACGGCATGTTCGACGTCCAGTGGGCCTCGACTGGCTTCTGCAATTTCCCGTTAATCACGGGAGTTTTCCTGCTCGTCATCTCGGTGGTGCAGATATATCGGTATGTACCTGCGAAGCTCCGTTCCTCTGGGACTGCTTTTATTAAACTTTAAATCTAATCTAATCTCTTTGCCTTAGATATGCACGCATGAAGGAGGAGGCCTCGTTTATAGCGCTGTTCATTGATGTGGTCTTGGGCATCTGGATGCTGGCCATGTCCATTTTGTCAGCCATATTCATCACGCTGGGCTTTATCGTTTGGTGCGACGGCATGACCGAGCGCTTCCCATCCTGCGCGATTTCTGCCGGCCAGAACATCATTCGCGGCGACACCGAAAAGATTAACACTTCTGGCTTCTATATTGAAATGGGCACTACTCAGGTGAGGCAGTGAAGCAGTTTCTCAAAATCCTTTTAACTGTTTACCTTTGTTACTTTTAGTTTGGTGCCTGGGGATCGTTTGCTATTTCCGTGGGCATCGGCGTCATTGCACTGTTAAAGCTCATCGACAACCATCAGGTGCGCAACATCAAGGTATCCATGTACTTGGAGCGCCAGCGTCTGGTGAATCAGCAGCAGTACGACGGAAGGTCAACTCCCCCCATCGCCTCCAACATCTCGTCCGACTCCGAGCAGAACAAATAGTTGGCGTTTGTCGTCAGTAATAGCCAGCAATTCGTAATTCTCTACGTTTTCCTCATGGTGTGCGTTATAATCATTGTTTGTCATTTGGTCCTCGTCCTTATCATCGAGGCGGAAACCCAGCAGCGGCACAACCTTTATATGTAGCGCAGTCTAAAAGCTAATGTTTGAGCACTTACTAAAGATATTAGAGCTATGATTAAGCCAACTTTACGTGATATGTATTGTATATATTGTATTGTATGTATTTAATCGAATATTCCATGTTACTCATAGTAAAATAAAACAAGAAAGAAAGCTAAAATTGGCCAGCCAAAGTTTGTATACCCTTGCAGGTAACAATTAAAATATATCATAACTACGCCAAAAATGCATTAATTTCGATTCGGAAAGCAGTTTTGTGTTAGTTTTTATTAATTTAAAAAAACTGCTTACCAAATTTAAAATTATAAGAAATCAAAATTTTTGGCCATTTTTGCTAATTTTATGATGTAACCCCTTATCAAATTTCGCAAAAATGGCCAAAAAATCGATTTCTTCCGGACAGGTCTAGAAAGATTCGCATGTTAATGCTGATCAAGAATATATATGGTTTATGGGGTCAGAAATGATTCCTTGACTTAGAAAAATATTATTTTGTATTATAAAATCTGATTTTTTATATTAGAAAATTCTTGATTTTTTTTAAATTAAAAATATCATAACTCGGCCAAAAGAGCATTAATTTTAAATCGGAAAACTGTTCTGTGCAAGATTTTCTACAGTTAATAAATCTGCATACTTCATTTAAAAATTTTGAAAATTCAATTTTTTATCAAAATCAAAAATTTTAATGATGTAACCCCTTATAAAATTTTGCAAAAATGGCCAAAAAATCGATTTCTTCCGGACATGTCTAGAATGATTCCCCTGTTTATGCTGATCAAGGATATATATACTTTATAGGGTCGGAAACGTCTCCTTCACTGCGTTGCAAACTTCTGACTGAAATTATAATACTCTGCAAGGGTATAATTATAAATATTAAAATAATTCGTTTAGGTAAAAGGAGCTGGGGTACGGTTAAAAAACTAATATAGATTGATATCTCTGGTATATTTATACCTTTTTACCTACTATAGAAATTTTAATTCGATAAATACTTTATGGAGTACCATAAACAGTTTCTGTATCATTCTATTGTGTATCTAAAGAATTCTTAAAACATAAGTAAATTTTACTAAACATTATCTGAAAATATATGTATATAGTACATATATAAAAACAAAAAAGAAAGCATTAGTATACCTTTTAAATTTAAAACTTTGAATTTGATCAAAACTTCTTCAAAAATGCATTCATTCAAAATAGGAAACCTTTTCTATATTAGTTATTAGCTTAACAAATCAGCCTTTATATTAAACTAGAAAGGAATATTCCCCACCAGTTTTCCACTGATTTTTAAGTAATTCACATTTTTGAAATTTTAATTTTAATTTTAAAAATTATAACGACCTCTTATATAATTTAATAAAAATGAGTACATTTCTTTTTCTACCAGAGCATGACCAGTTCGACTCGGCTGTTGATGCTGATCAAGAATATACTATGATTTTTAGGGTTGAAAATAACTCCTTCTTTACTGCTTTGCAAGATTCTGATTAAAATTATAAAACACTGAAAAAGTACAAAAACGAATACTTTATTTTACTCTTTAACAATTTTAAAATGTAGAAAAATTGAGAACTTGGCAGACATGACTGTATGAACTTGGATGTTGATGCTGAACCAGGATATATCTACAGATAAGATTTATAGGGTTTTGCAACCTTTTGATTGAAAATAAAATATACAAATAATTGCGCAATACTTACTTCTTTGTTATTTAAAGACCCATTGAAGAATCTCCAATTAAACAATAAAAAATCTGTTATATCAGTTACATTTATTTTGCAGTTATTTCTGTTTGTTTTGTGTGTTGTTCTTGTTGTTTGTTGATGTCATTCGAATGTGTGTCGTAATGCCAACGGATTTGGGTTTTTGGATTTCACGTTTGCATTGCAACAAAATGTTCTTATAGACTTTAAAGCGATGCTATTGTACATTTTATATATTAAATTCCGTATTTGCTTGCGTAGTCTGTTACAATTCAATTAACAATTTCATAAAGATTCTCGGTTAGCATCCGTGCGGTGCTTTCGTTCCCAAAATTCAATCTTTGCCTGCATCGAGTTGTCTCAGTTGTGGAGCAAAAATGGTGGAGATTTATTTTTTTGTTGGTATAGAGAAAAATAGTTACTTGTACATTTATGAATCTCTTTCTTCAATACAGGACACTGTATCTGTATCTGTATCTGCATCTGCATCTACGACTGCGTTTGGATTCTTTGGTTTTCGGTTTCTTTTCTGTTTTCTGGCATTCATGAAACAATTTTATGTGGCTTGAGTTGGCTTTGGTTTTTGGTTCTCTTATAACTAAACACTACATCAATGTATGTACTATAATTAGTATTTTTAGTTGTTGGTATTTTTGGTTTTTCTTTTCTTTTGTTGGTAATTATGTTTTGGATTTCTTTGAATAGCATATTATAGTAATTTTCTTTTAAACTTACACTAACTTCCTTTCGGTTTTGGTTTCTTTTTCTTTTTGTTTTTCGTTTAAATACAATTAAAAAACATAACGCAAGGTGGATAAAAAACGATGTGCAGTGTGTTCTTGTTGCGGTGTCTGTTTGTACGAAATGAGGCATTATTTAATCCAAACCTCCTGCGGGCTGCGTTTCAATTTGCTGGGGGCTAATCGGTCCAGGCCATGCCATCGTTGGATAAGGCATCCTGGAAGGTGGTTCGGATGGCGGCGCCGCTGGCCACTGGCGCTGGCAGCCACGCAATTTGGGATCATTCAGGTGTGTCTCGAATTCGGAAAGCAAGATTTTCGCGAAATGTCAAACGTAAAAAAATGTGGCTCTGGCGCGTGTATTTTCGTCGATCCATTGCACGGCCGCCAGCTGGGGGCCCTTGGGGCGCCGTCTCCGATCCCTGTCAGCGGCAGGGACGCATTCACGGAAATCGGTCGAGTTTGTGTGCTCCGATTAACCCCCCGCATTGAGCCCCGTAATCGCAGCCGGTCGAGGAGGTTTGCTGAACGCAAGCTGGTGAGTTAAGCTCAAACGCGCCCCGCTGCCGCCACCCCACCGCCCAGGGCCGCAAATCTGGGGCCGGGAGGCGGGGCCAACAGAGGGGCTCGGGATTGGATTTTGGTGGGCACTGCCATGCGATTTCCGTGACCCTTCACGGCAGTGCTAGTAGCTGTTGCGGGAAAAACTCGGTCTGTTCGTGGCGTGTCCTTTTCGGCATTGTGTGGCTTTTGTGTGGGCGGCCGGTCGCGCCTGGGTGCGTCCCGCTCGGTGTTAACGGTCGCCAGCGGCTAGTCCGGCTCCGGATATCCCCGCACTCAGTCGCGCCGCGTCGTCGCTTAGTGTTGTGTGCCAGGAACGGGCCAAGTGCGCAGACGGATAACCGCTGGGGCGGGGGGTCCGCACTTGACTCTTTCCTGGCCCCTCCGGCCATGATGGCAACTAACTGCCAATCATTCACATAAGACGTAATGTAAAATTAGTTATAAAACTTTCAAAAATTGTTTTCTTTATAAGCGTTTTAAAGTTGAAATTGTAGTTTTCGGATTCTCGCATCTTTCAGCTTGCTGCTTCCTTTTCGGACTTTGTCATCCGAAATAAGTTGGTTTCCCTAGACAAATGCAGGTGAAATACTTGCGCAGCGCCATTCCTGGCGATGGCGTTTGCCTACGCTTGAAAATGCATTTTCCTATATTTTCTTTATCTTTTTCATGTTTTTTTTTTCTTTTTCTTTTGTTGAACGCACAGCAGCGGAGAAAATCCACACCAATTGCACAATCCAAGGGGTTATTCCCTTTTTTCCGTGTTTCAGTGGTCCCGGGACATGCTAGGCACGCCCTCGGGCTCTCGAAATTTCCAATGTTGCGTCCAATTAGTAGTAGTAGTTAGCCAACTATGCAATTTGCAGCTTTTTCGTATCTCATCGAATCAAGCGTTGAGAAAAAGATTCGCGTGAATTTTCCCGCATCTGCTGTACGTTCGCATCGTGACCTGGCTGGTGTGTGTATTTTGTTTTTCCCAGTTGGTTCTCGCTGGAACTCTCAGGTTCTCTGCCGAACGCAACTAGCTTTCTTTGCTTTGTCATAATTGTGGGATTTACTTTTACTTGGTTTCTAGCGTCTTCATTTAGTTATAACAAACAATTTTTCAACAATTTTGTACTTTTGTTATGTTTTTTTGGGTTTCTCTAGCTTTGTTTTTTTTTTTTCGGTTTTTTTGTTTTTGGTTTTTGTGTTTTAGGCTTATGTTTCATTTTTCCTGTTTCTTTTTCTACTGCTTGCGCTTCATTTCCGGTTTATCGGTTCGATCGCCCTGCTTCTTTTGCACTGCTTGCGCTGCTCTCTGTTTAACGGTATCACTAATCGGTTTCAGCTGCTGCTTAAATAGGAACGAAACGAGAAGGAACATAATTGAACTTGAATTTGATACAACTTTGGCCAGACTATTGCTGAGTGTATGGAATAAAATCTCCTCTTGCTCTTACACTTCCTTCAATCTATTGTTTAATTTCTTTATTTTTCTTTGGTTTCCTGCCCTCTGACGAGGTTGGTTCGAGCAGTTTGAGTTTAACGTACTGATTTCAGACGTGGATTCAGGCTGGAGGATGCTGACTGCTAACTGACGATCGGAACGGATCCGATCCGCTCAAATCGATTTGCTAAGTGCGGGACTGTTCGCTTTATACAAGTAATTTTGATTACAGCTTTTGATTCTCGAGTTGCCTGCTCTCTCTCTCTCTAAGGTTTGGTGGTGTGGAGATGATGGCTTCTGCTACTCCTACTGCTAACTGTTGCCAACTGCTACTGCTCCTGTTTCTGGTTCTAATTCCGCTTCTGCTCTTGGTCCTGCTGCTGCTTTTGGGTGGGATGGGATCGGGTGGGCTTGTCGTGGGTGGGTGTGTCTGGGGTGGTTGTGGAATTAGCACGTTAAATCAGACGCTCGCTGTACCATATTCAGAAATCCGTGTTGTTTGTACCGCCGCCGCCGTCGCCCTCGGCGCCTAGTCCCGCTCCAGCTCCCGCCTCCCCACCGGCCAAGCCCACTTCGCCTACGCTAGGCGGCAGGGCCAGTGACAACGGGGGAGCGGCTGAGCCGGCCACCATCATAGTGGGCTCCGTGTTCCGGCGTTTCATTTTCAGCTTGTTCTTTTTCAACATGGTCGCCTGTTTCGTTTTCATCGTTTCAGACAGCGAGAGAGAGAGAGAGAAAGACATTTGGGAATTTGAAAAACAATTTAAGCGTTGTCCGCATTGCATTTAAAATTAGTTTTAAAATATTTGTTATCATAGAGTTAGATTTTTGTTTCGTATTCGTGTAAAGTTGTGTATTTTGTTCAATATATTCGGTAGGAGAGAAAAAAGAGAGTAAGAAAAGATAGAGTTAACGCAAGGAAATAAATCGATTGCCTTAGATTAAATTCGTTATAGGTTCTTGTTCAAAAGCTAGCTTGAAAAATCAGGCAAAATGTAACGGAGGAACTCAATCAACTAAATGTTTTCGGTTATACATATTTCGATACTGTATGATGGATTACGAAAGCTTGCATTTGCATATAAAATGGTAACGGAAAAGTCCAAATTGGACTGCCTTCAAAGGAAAATCAAGGTAAATGATTGCATAAAAATTAATTTAAAACTGTAGACATTTTCTAGGAGCGCTAGGCTTGCTGTGGTGTGGTGTGGTGTGATGTTTGTGGGTGTAGTGTTGCTTTAGTTAGCTAGTTCAAGTTCAATTGCGGTGGTCACAGTTCTTCCGGTGCAGAGGTGTTTTGGTGGGTGGTGGGTGGGTGGTTCTCAGAGCTCGACAGCACCAACTATTATTTACAGCTATTTGTTTTTATATTTAATTTCATTACTTTTGGCTTTGGTTAATGCTATTTTTTTTTTGTTCTGACTTTTGGAAGATTAGTTTCATTCGCTTGCGCGCATTGGAGTTTTTATCTTGCTAAAATTTTCGATATCTGATTACAATTTTCAGGCTTAAGGCTGTTGATCTGTTCATGGCTTATGGAGTTTTGTTTTTTGGGGTTTCTTTGGTTGGTTTTATGGGTAGAAACAGGAGAACCAATATCGCAGGCCGCTGGCCAAGCTCTAGGTGCTGCCGAAGCCGGCGGGCAGCGAAGCCATCGAAGCCTCCTTCTCCCCATTTTCGGCCAGCTGCGATTGTTGCTGCTGCTGCTGCAGTTGCTGCTGTGACTGGGATTGCGGGGATCCCGATACAGACACAGATCCCGCTCCCAGTCCCGATCCCGATCCCTGCTGCGCCACCGAGAGACTGAGCACCGCCGGCGAGATGTGCGGCTCCGTGAGGCGGCGCTTGCTCTTCGTCTTCTTCAGCATCGTGGCCTAGATGTAGCATAGAAATCACACACATTGTCAAATCCGACATACACATACGCACACGCACACACATCGAACAGAGAACTACAAAGTTTTTGTTTATGTTTTCTTTTCTGATTTCATTAGTTTTCATTTAACTTATTTTGTTTTTTTGAGCTGCCAACAAATGAAAAATGCAGAAAAACGTGGCTATTTTACATGGTTAGAGGGTGGCTCAGGGTTTTTTGGGTGTTGTGTGCTCTACTAAGGTAATTACGACACATCGGGCGGGAAGATTTACCAGGGGACAAATTACAAATTTAACATACAAAACACGCATATCCAACACACACGCATACAAAATTTACTGGTTTTAGTTGTTTTGCCCTTGGCTCAATGACAATCGGTTCGCAAAGTTCAGGATTCCATATTTTATGTTATATGTAAATTATTGTCCAGTTTTGTACTTAGTAAATCCTGGGTCAAAGGAAGTTATATATCATTTGGAACATTATATTCCATGCTAGGAAGACTTTTATTTTATAGTTAAGGCTAAATAGAAGAATATTTTCTTCAAGACAATCACCGTTAATTGAACTAACTCTGTTAGTTCTCTATCTCTATATTATAAACTATAGACGTAGAGTAAGCCGATTTGGTTTATCAACAAGTTTAATTGCTCTTTACCTTTTTCGGAAATTTAATAGTTTAATAGTTCAGATGGGAAAGCGGCCCTTAAAAATTGATTTAAACTCCAAACAGTATGCAATGCAATGAGTGTTTCGAAAAGGAAAATCATAGTATTTAGATTTAATGCAGAATTAATATAAATACGATGTCAGGTTTGGACCAGGATGATTTTTGGTTTGATAATATAAATTTGCTCTATATTGCATATTTAATTGAATTTAATTAAAAGCTATATTAACGTGACAACTGATATATAAATCGCTTATAGTTCATGCTGCCTGACTCATTAAGTCTGAACCGACTGCCATTTAGGTTTGTGTTAACAACATTTACTTAGTTTTGCCATTGAACTGAGGATATAAAATTATAGGCATTCCTAATATCATGTCCTTGTTGTGGTTCCCCTTTGTGGTGCCCGGGTATTACATAAACCCAAATTTAAACTGTCGAATGTATGCTCTGTGGATTTTGGCTTGAATTTCTTGTGGGGGGTTGTACAAATTTCAAATAAAATTAATGTAATCAGATAGGTGGACGCTAAATCAAAAGAGTCGCTTAAAAATCGGAATTAAAACAAAAAATATAATAATAAAAAAAAAAAAATACAAGGAAAGCGGCGGTGCACTATAATAACCTTATATATGAGCTGAGTTTTTTGTTTTTAAAAATATATAATAATCTACTAAGCTCCGGTTTTTGCAAATTGCTAAAAAGTTAAGTGTATACATTTTTTTAGGATTGCCAATTGAGAATGAAAATTAAATCAAGTTTTTCAACCTTATATAAAAATCTAGATTTTAACTCGCTTCTAGGAACTATTACAGATTTATTCGTAATAACCGGAGCATGTTTGTATATGTAAATACAAAATGAGGGTAATGTTAGGAAGCAGGGCATGCAATCGAAAAAAGGAACAGCGAATACATGCAAGGCAACTTTAAGTTTCAAATATAAAATTCGAAAGAAATTGAAAATCCAAAGGGAGCCACTTACCTTGAGGGCCGACTTGAGGACGACAACATCGCCGGGACTCTGGATCCAGGGCTCACCGTCCACCTGAACGGGCATGTCGGTGTTCAGATGTATCTTGATGTGCCCACCCTGTGGGTTAAAAATTTACAATTTACAAATTATAGAAAGTTTTTATTTAAAAAAAAGAGTTTTTTTCGTTGCCCACCTGAGCTATGCGCATGGCCGTCCGAATTCCGGATTGGATTTGACCCAAGTGGACCACGCCGGTGACGCCCACTACCTCCAGCATGCCATCGTAGTGGTTGGGCGTGGAGAACTGGTCGTCCTTGTCGGGTCCCCATGGATTGGCGCCGCTTCCCCAGCTGTAAAAGAGGGGATTGTGGAGTTAATAACAATATGAAATAATCTTCTATGGCAGTCTCAGCTCACCTCAAAATATTTAAGATGATGATGCCATCGACCGGTGGTAGATCGACAATCTTTCCGTCCACCTCCAGCCGCAGTTCCTTCTGCAGATCCTTGACCGCCTTGCGGCCCACGATCTTGCGCAGTCCCATCTTGACGTAGTAGCCCTTGTTTCGTAGGCGAGAGTTGAACTGGTTGGGGTTCTCCTCGCGCGCATTGTGGAAGTCCAGGCAGAGGTCCGCATCGATGCCGATGCCGAAGTAGTTGTTCATCACGAAGATCTGTGAGTTGTCCTCGTTTTGGGCACCACCTGGATGGAACACCAAGTGATCATTAGTTGGTAGGTTCAATTTATTGTCCATTGGGATCACACAAAGAGACACTTGACACCGAACATTCAACTGACAACATCGAGGTTTGATTTGATTAGTTTACCCAAAGATCCGGGGAGTCCCACTGGTGTCTGGACTAGTCAGGTCATACATTACCTCATGCATGCGGATATAGCCTAGGAAGTAACTCTGTACACATTAAAACTAAACAGCATTTATCATCAGATACCAAGACTGGGGTGGGGTTTTTGTATAAGAGGGACTTTTAGGAAGCTTTTTTTTTGTATTTACTTTACAAATAACCTTGGTAGGTAAGTAATCAGCTTAGATTTATTATCAGCTGTAACATGGATTTTCATTAAATAAAATAAATAAATAAATAATTATGAAAACTAATAACTTCTGCTTAAAGATACTTCCATATGTACTAGGCGTTTCATATGTTACAACTTTGGCTTTTGTTCAGAGATTGCTTTGGCGATTTTTACAGCCGGAAAAGGATTGGGTCGTGGCATAGATTTAATTACAACACAAAGGATTGGTTTTATTAAAGGAATTGGGGCTGGCAATGGGACTGGGAGTGGCACTTGGGCTAGGTCTGGTTAGGATTAGGCACTATGTAATGTAACGTAGAGAAAGAACACACGAACGAAGTTTTGAAAACACCAAATGACCTGATATATCACTCGATGTCAGAGCCGGTAATTGATGATGCTGATTGGTTTGTTGCGATTGCGATTGCGATAGGTGTGCTTGGTGTGCCTTCTTCTTCTTACCGGTTGTTTGCGAGGGCGCCTTCATGGCCGGCTCCTCGGGCTTGTCCTCCGGATGGAAGACAACCGTCCAGCGATCGAGTCGGATCTCCTCCGCCTCGATGACGTCGCGCAGTAGATTTAGCGGATCCTCGCCGCCGGTATAACCAGATCCCCAGCACAAAACGCGAGCCAAATCATTGCCTAAACGGGATTATGGTTTGGGAAGTGAGATTATGTTAATTATGTGACACTAAATACTAAATACATCGAGTTCGAGAAGCAATCTACTCACCAGTTCCGAGGGGAACAATGGCGCAAGGCGGACTGGAGCACTCCGAGTCCTGTCCCACGTTGTCCAGGCACTGCAACACCCAACCGATGGTTCCGTCGCCACCGCAAACCAGGATCTTGTAGTTGGTTATCTGTCGGAACACGTACAAGCTGGAAATATGAAAGAAAACTAGTTTAGAAAAGCAGGCATGGGGATTGGTTTGCATTCATGTTCCATACCCAGGCAGAGGACCGCCATTGTCCAGATCGAAGACTTGATAGGGATTTAGCAGTTTTCTGAAGCTGGAGATCAGCTCCAAGCCCTGACAGCCGCCGGACTTCACGTTGACAAAGACCAGCAGTGGCCTCACGTCGGAGGGCACCATGCTGGGCTCGATGTTCGGCAGGAGCAGCACCAGCAGCTTCTTGTCCTCGATGATCGTCTCGCGGAGATTGTAGAAGGCACGAACCTGCAAGACAATTTAACAAATAAATAGAGTTTCCCTTGGGAAACTGGATGCTAAAAGACCCACCGCCTTCTGGGAGTCCTCGAATGTAAGCACCACGGACCCGTACTCGTAGTAGATGGGTCCAATGCTGATGAACTTGTTCTCGTCGGTCACGTACTTGTTGAGGATCTGCTCGTAGTTCCGCTGCGACAGACCCGTGGGCAGGTTGCCCACGAATAGAGCGATGTTGGGACCGTGCGGATCCTGCTTGTGCTGCATGTAGAAGCGCATTAGCTCCATCTGGCGTATGGAGTCCTTGCCCAGTTGCTTCATAATATCCCAGGGTCGTTCGTTCCACGACAAGATACGCTCGGTCACGCCGCGATCGAGCAGCACCTCCGAGCACCTGGGATTGGGAATATAAGCGTTAAGATACGAGATCATAAGACCATGGGACACTATACGCACCTGTAGTCCTGTATTTGGTTATCCTGTAGGCCGAACTTGTCCAGGGCATCGCGAATCAAATCCTTAATAACTGTGCTATTATCTACAGGAACACTGACATAGGGATCCTCCAGCATCGAGCACTGCAGCTTGCCGGGATAGACGCGCACATGGCCCCGGTCGCGATCGTGGAAGCGGAGGTACATGGCCGGCCGCTTGCCCTCCAGGTGCGTCAGGCTGAGCACGGGCGTGGGGTCCAGCATCGGGGCGTCCTCCATGCCGGCGGGCGCATACAGATCGGTCAGGTAGAAGGCCTGCGGATCGCGCGTGATGTGGAATGCCCGCAGCGCGGTGGTCAGCAGCTGCTCCAGCGTGTATGTGCGCTGCACGATGATCACACGGTACTGCTGGCGTCGGAATGAGTTGTTGCCATCGAACACCTTGATCATCTCTGTGGAAGTGGATATGGATTTTGCTTAGTATGTAAAGTATTATATTTTCCAAATGAGTTCCCTTCATCTCACCTATGTCCTTCTCTTCGCGCTCCTTCTCCTTCTTCTCGCGATCCTTCTCTGACTTGTCCGACTTGTGACCAGCGGAATCAGGCCTGTAATGGCTGGAGGAGCCACCGGCAGCGGAAGTTGACGCTCCCCCGTGGAGGAGCCACCTGCTCCGGTTCCACCTCCCCCGCCACCGCTGCCTCCTCCGCTGCTGGGTCCATGTCCGGATTCGGTCTTGCTGGCGGATTCCTCATCCTTGAAACGGGGTGTGTCGCCGCTACTGAACTCCTCGGATATGCTGCGTGCTGGAGGTCACACATAGAAATGTCTGGGTTAGTATCTGGCCAGTTCCTCAGGTGGACAGACATATTTTTATTAGTAAAAACAAAAGCGGCCTCGGCCTGGTGTTAGTTACTTAGTTGCCACTCGGAAAAAATGCAAGACGTAATCGGAACAGTTAATTTATTAAATAGCTAGATGTATTAAAATATTAAAAAAAAAATATAATTTTTTCCAGCTACAAAATTTTGTATTAATATTAATATATGTAATATTGATATTTAATATTTCTTAGTTAGAAGGATCCGAAATAGCTGTTGCTTTTTAATCACATTAAAGATACAAAGCTACATAAATAAAAATGTTTACCTAAAATTGCCCTAAAAACAGCTTTTCGCTTTAATATTGAGAATTCTTCTTGTTTATTAAAACATATGTCATTCGACCTTATATTAAGAAATAATAACTACAAAGATTTCAAGGACATATTTAATTTCATACTTTATGGCGTATTTTTAATTAATTTTTTAACATAAAGTGATTTCTGTGACACCTGATTCCTACTAAATAGTATAGATAATCCTGGTTAAAAAATTAAATTAAATATTCATGGGTTTAAATTAAGTCTAAATTGCGTTATTATAATAAAGAATAGTTAACCATTTCAAGACTAAAGGCTAATTCGGATCACTCTTGGGTTATTTTTCCGAGTGCTGGCATGCGATTATGCGGTGTTAATGATTAGTGGCTTGCAATGTGGGGCGGAATGGTGCGGATGATTAGTGGTCGATGGTTAGCGATTAGTGGGACTCAGTGGCTTGGTGGCTCAACGTAAAAGGAACGGGCGTAACGAAACCAAAACCAAAACAGAGGGGGTTAGCGCAAACTAAGGACCAGTCGAAACCAAGACCGAACCGATCGAGAGCGTGCCGCGTCCCCATTCGCATTCTTGGCCCCAATTCTGTTAGCAGGGACGGGGGACAGAGAGACAAATAGAGAGAGAGAGAGAGAGAGAGAAAAGGGTAAGGAGTACGTGGACTAGTCACCTCTGCGCTTCTGGTAGCGCGGCTTGCGCCAGCCGACGGAGAGACCTTGCCGCACCTGTCGGAGCAGCCGGCCAAGGACATGGCCATCACTGGCGTCGCTGGCCCGCGACCGGCTGCTGGCCCCACCGTCGCTGATGTCGCCGGCAAAGGCCAGGTCGTCGCTAGCCCCGCTGGGCCGGTCGTCCAGGTAGAGATCGTCGAAGCCCACGTCGTCGTCCACATCGGTCGCGTCCAGGCGGCGCGCCAGCATATGGAAATTGTCGTCGTACGGCTGGTAGTTGCCGTCCTCGTCCTGGATGGTTATCTCGATGTTTTGCGATAGCCTGTCCAGGCTGTAGTTGCTCTTGGTACCCGCGGGCACCGCAGCGTTCTTGGGCGATCTCTTGGAGCGCCGGCGCTGGAACAGGCCGCGTCCGTACTTCTTGTATCGCGAAACGGCAGTGACACCGGCCGACTCCTGGAAGGACTTGCTCCTGCCCACCGGCGATAGCTGCAGCAGCGTCGCCGGGGCCGAGGGCGAGGCCGAAGAACAATCGCTGGAGTTGGAGTTGGAAAGCGGGGAGCTAAGGGAGCCGCCCTTGCCCTGCGCCTTGTGCTTGGGCATGAGTATGGGCTTGGGCTTGGGCTTGGCCTGGGCCGGAGCCCCAGTCTTGGGTTGCGGTCGTCCTGGGTGGACGCTCAAGGCATGTCCGGACTTTCCCGGGGCAGTGGTGCTGGCGGGGGCGATTGTGGTGCTGGCTCCTCTAGGGGCATTGGAGGCGGAGGCGGACGCGTTACTATTATTACTACTATTATAGCTAAGGTTGCTGATCAGGTTGAGGCTGCTGTCGAGGTCGTCGGTGTTGGTCAGCTCCCCGCCGGTGTCCGAGGTCTCATAGCAGCTTTCCCTAGGCGCCGTCTCGCCCTCCGCCTCCGCCTCGGCGTCGCCGTGGTAGTCTGTCTCGCTGACATCACGTGGCTGACGCGAGCGCAGCGATCTCCGGCGCAGGGCCACGTCACAGTGGTCGTAGTCGTCGCTGAGATCGCCGCCGCTAATATCACAGACTCCGCCGTCCACGTCGTCCTCATCCTCGCTGGGCGAGATGCCACCGCCGCTAGATCCCCGTTTCCGCCGGCGCTTGCCCTGGCCGAGTTTCCGGAAGAGGCTCGTGTAGAGCAGGTGCAGCGAGGAGTTGGCCGAGGGTGATTTCTGCAGGTTACTGGCGCACATCACATTCGAGGTGGAAGTGGTCAGCTGCAGGGCGCTGTCCTGCTCCGTGTTCTCCTCCTCCAGCTCCTCCTCCGGCTGATCCCGATCCTGATCCTGGTCCGCCTCATTGCTGGTCTCACCCACTGTGAGGAAGGAGGGCGTCGGCGAGTGGCAGAGCGAGTGGGAGCCACAGGAGGTGGGCGTGGGCGGCGTGGAAAGGAGAAAATGTTGTTTCGATTGCTCTCGCCGCTGCCTGTGGAGCTCGAGCAGCTCCTTCAGGCCCAGCCCAGTTATTGCTCCCGCCGATCCCGGTCCCGTTCCAGGGATCGGGGAGCAGCTGGCCGCTCCGGAGCCGGCACTCAAATCCGGACTGGCTGCCGGGGCGCCCACAGACACACACACAGACAAACACAGCGTTAAGGAACGCCGGAAACGGAAACAGTTTGTGAAAAAACCCAAGAGAGAAAGAAAAGAAAAGAAAAGAAAAGAAAAAACGAAACGAAAAGTAAATCAAAAATCAAAAGAGTATAGAATCCAGGGAACGGGGAAAAATCGAGGAAATCATCGGTTGTGAAGTGGTGGTGGTGTTGTTGGTGGGAGTGAAAGAGTGGTCTGCCATGATCTGAATGAGCTGGATGAGCTTGAGCGATGTCTGATTGCTGATCGTTGGAGTTCTGGTTTTTCAGAGTGTGCACACAACACAACATCGATAGCAACTTTATGTTTTTGGGGATATTTGGGGTGAGTATTGCTAAATCGCTATATAGAGGGTGAGTGACCATCGAGAACGGATGTGGACCAGTCCACACTCAGCGAGAGAGAGTCTTTTCGAAGGTGAGTATAGAGGAAGATATCAAGATATTTATGTTATTATAAAACTTGACTGAAGATTGTCTTTCAATTGAAATATAATTATTCCAAAAGGACCTCGATCCACCTTTGATGGGACTCTACTCGCTTCAGTGCAGGACCTGGCCTATTAAGAGGCTGGGCGCCTGGGTTCCTGGGCTTCTGCGTTTATCACTATGGGGGCAAGACCATGTACTTACGACACGAGTAATCGCGCACGAGCGTCGTTTTCGATTTGACCTGGACGCCGATGATGGCCTCGATGGGCACTTCGGTGCGCGGAATCGAGACTGAGTGCGGAGGTAAGTAGATAGGTTGTAGAATACCAAAATTACATTCGGTTGGCAGGTACACGCGACATCCGGCATGGGTTGTCATGCCGCACCACTCGCAGCGGTATCCTGTAAATAAGATTGAGAAGCATAATTAGCCAGAGGGAGAGATAAGGATTCAAGGGCGAACAACTCACCAGTGAGACATTCCGAGGACCAACATGTTTTCTTACAGTACGCGCACTTGGACGTTGATGGAAGATTGCCCTCTCGCCAGTGATGCTGTTGGTCGAGATTAATATATAGTTAGTCTTGGTTGTAATCCTCTAAAGAGAGAGAAGTTAGGTGTACTTACCTGATGCTTCACATTAAGCAGCTCCTTGCCCGGCACATATGTGGCATTTTCGGTACAATCGGGCACCGCAAAATCTTGGCACTCAATATGCGCGAAATATTCGCAGACTGGGATAAAAAATTATGTGAAATATTTAAAATAATAGAAAAGCTGGTAATATTTATTGTGGGAAAATTTTCCTGGCTGTAATTTGTTTTCAATAAACCATAGCATACTTTTCTGGATCAAGATAACAGAAATTTTCAGAATTTAATTATTTAATTAATTAATTTGCTTTTAATAAGAGTGCTATATGTGTTAATGCTTCTGTTTCTGCTTCTTGTTTTATGCTTTAACATATCATAAACAATCTAATAAAATACACTTAAGTTTATCTTAATGGAAAACCAAACTCAATCGCAGTTAAAAATCAATTTTCTACCTCTGTGGGGCACACATCATGCGCTTGATGGTTCTAACAATGGATTGCCGCTCAATAGGTGAACTGACGTGACTGACACGCAGTTGGAGGAGAAGAGGCGTCAAGGACTGGGACACACACATATACATATATAGTGTCACTTACCTAAACAATGCACCGCTGGCGTTTCATCCAATCGCTTACGGCAGACTGTGCAGAATTTTCTCTTGTGATGAGTTGGCTCGGACCAACAATGGGCCACGGGATTCTGTGGGGAATGACACATGGACACATGACAGCTACGTTCATCCTGCGATTGCGACTACGTACCTTTATAATGCATGGAGCGATGCCGGAACAGGGCGTTACCACGCTGCTGACACATCGTTCGTGAATGATAAAGTTGCAAACTGCAAGCGGCAAGGTAGAGAGAGGGGAAAAAAAGATGTGGTTATGCAACATGTCGGCAAAAGTTTTCAAGTTATTTCAAAAGGGATCACAATGCAGTTCACGTTTATCTAAGTGGAACAGTCAAAGGTTTCGTTGCGTATACGTAATATTTCATAACTTTTTGTTAAAACTAAAATCAAACCCATCCAGTGTTTAGGTTCAAAATTGTTGTAAAAAATTAAATATCTCTATGAACTGAAATTTGAATATTTTTAATAGTATCCTAATGTAAATAGCCTATCTAAGGGGATACAGTCATTACGTATACGTAATATTTTCCATCGAAAAATGTATATAAATAAATTTTTTTTAAACTTATTTCCATTACATGGTATTAATTGAATCACATTTAATGAATTTTATTCAAATACACGTACATATATATTATTTCAGTTGAAAATGCGTATTCCAGTGAGAGTACTGCTCTCATCGCCCTAGTAAGCCCCTTGGTGCAACCGCAAAGTCACCGCGTCATTGGGAGCTCGCATGCCATTCATGGTGGCCGAGTTCACGGACAACGGTGCATTCATTGAAGTTCCCTGCAGGGCAACTAAGGGGGACGGGGCCAGAGCACACAAGTGGCGTGCAGCGAGCTAAGTGGCCAAGCCAAGGTGACGCAGAGAGAGAGGGAAGAAAGAGTGAGGGACTGGCAATGGACAAAGCTCGACTGCTTTTCTCCCTCCCGCGCTTTTGAGCTAGCTGCTCTCTGTCTCTTTTCCTCGCCACCTGATTGAAAAGTAAAATCCTGTTGCACAAAAAAAAAGGTCCATAGACCAAATAACTCGATTTCTTTTATTATAATTATAAAAAATGATATAATTCCAAAGACTTTAAATTGTATGCAATATTTTATTTTGTTTAAGACTGTTTTTAATAAACACCAATATTTAAACCATGTTGCTTAAAATATGAAATATGGATTGATATTGCCAAGCCTGAACTATTTTGAATGCAAATTAAATAATTTGTATTAATTCTTTGAATAATCGCATCCTCAGTCTCCCTTTTGTATTGAAACGAACATAAATAACATAAATATGTACATACATATGCTCGCATTTCGTGCTTCGACTTAACATAGATATCATAGTTCTATTTTTATCCTGGCGTAAAACTTACGTATTTACACATAGGCAACACTTGGGGCGCTGCACACATAACAAATGGGCAAACAGACGCGCGTCGTCTGTATGTAAATGCATAATTATCTCTGTGTGTGCACCGTGTCGAGGGGAGGAGGAGGCGGCAGCAGCAGCAGTAGAAAACTAGGCCGCTGACCTGAGGCGCTGTGCTGACGTCATGAATGAACTCGTGAATGTGCTTTGGTTTTTTGGCCCGTTTTATAAATAAAACAGCGGGCAGCCGTCAAGTAGGTGCAAGCAGCAGCCAAGCAAATGCAGAAGGGGAAGAAGAAAGAGAAGGACAAACGTGACGCTCAACTGCAGTTGCATTTGGGAATGTAAAACATAACTGTAGGTCTCGAGTTTAGCTAGCCATCTCTGTCTAGCTTGAGTTATTTGCAAGAGGAGTCCTCGGTCTTCTTGTTGTTGGCTGTGGCGGTTGTTGCACTTGCCGTAAAAATAGAGGGTTGGGGGGAGGTAAGGGTGGTGGAATTGCAGAAGCAACAGCTGAGCACGTATACGCCCTGTGGCGCTCAGCAGCTAAGATCTGTACATTTCTTTTTAGGTATTTTCCACTTTGTTGCATGCCTGCATTATGTATACCAAAAATGTGTGTGCTTTCTTTATTTCTCTTTCCCTTTATCCCTCTCTTTTTGTGTAGATAAGCATAAGCAGACAGAAGCAGCGACGCCAACGCATGGGGAAATTTACGAAATGCTTTTCTTTGCGTTTTCCTTGTGTGTGTGCGTGTGTGGGGAATTTGAGGTTGGAAACTCAACACACTTTTACTTTTGCCTCGCTTCGTTTTTATTTTCCCTTCTCCCTTTTGGCCAGGCCAATAAAGCCAACAATAACAAAAGAGAATCAAGTGGGAGAGGACGAAGAAGAAGCAGTATCACAAAGCCAAATTTAAAGCGAACACCAATACATCCACACACATATACACATGTATGCACAAAGGAGTGGTAGAAGGAGAAGCAATAGGAGAAAGAGGACAAACCAGAAGGAGGAGCAGGAGCGGCAGGAGGAATCGGAGGCTAGGGACAATTGAATACGCACAAGTTGACATGCGTAGTGCGTGGAAGAGGAAGCACAATTAAAATTGATATTTGCCCAGAGGAGAGTTATACAATTCAATTGAGGTGTAGCCGTAACATACACAGCAAACGAATGACAAAGAGGAAGTAGCGCACTAGGAGAATAACGGTCAAAGAAGCAGTCGAAGTAAACGAACCAAAAGCCGAAGAGGAAGAACAACGTTGAATTAAAAATAGCTGGACATGCTTAATAATAAACAAGCATACACACATAATCTCGGAGAAACAGTTAGATGACGCATATGAGGCACGCATAAATCATATAAATTCATTCTTTGGCACAAGATAAAACCTTTTTTTACTAAAGTAAAAGGGTATTTATATTCGCTCACATTCGTTTAGAGTATAAACAAAATTAATCACTAAAATGCATTATACTTTTTCGACCTGTTAGCTTAGTATTTATATTTTATCCACGGGTTTTCAAGTGTTTCTCTGTCCAGCTCCCGCTAAAATCTGTGTCTGGTCTTTTCGGACGGCCGAATTAAATTCCACAGCAATCTTTTTTCCTGATGGAAACATAATTTCCAGATAGCTTCAGGGGCAGTGACAGGAAATTGGCAACAAAAATGTTGTTGCTGCATGTTGCAATATATTGCTAAAATGTTATGAAGTTTTGTAATATATGAGCAAGATCAACATAATTGCGAATTACTGTTACTATTAAGCGAAGCAACAGGACTTTGACGCCATTTTATTGCTCTTATGCACTGCTTGGCCCCGGAAGCACTGCTTGAGTAGCATTATTTTGGATTATGGTTTAATTTCATTTTGGTCGGACACGCTCTTGACTGGAGAGCAGATTTTTTCCGGCTTGCCTGCAACGTCAGCAGTGCCCTTCCTCTTTATCGTTCTCTTGATTCCCCCCGTTCTCCGCGCCGCTTTCCGTGCGATATGCCAGCCAAACTGACGACCCCGAAAATCTGTTCTTTATACTCTTTATGACGAAAGAATACTGCGAAAAAGTGTACCAGTTTGTAGTTAAATATTAAAATTAATTAACTATTACTTAAATTATTACTAAACGCTTAACTGAACTTTTAGTTATGTTCTTTTTTAGCCCAAATAAAATTTAAATGTAATTTCTTGACCTTGCAACCCAGTGGGTAAATAAATAAATGTTTTGAGCTCAATGATATTAGAAAAATATTCTCTAAATATTTAAAAACTTAATACCCCGTTGCCTATTAATACTTGTAAGCTTATTCCACTATGGCTCAAGTATTATAAAGAGTATTATTTTATCTTGTTTTAAGGTTGTTCGCGCTGTTGGCCATTCACTTTGGTTATGAATGAACAGCGTCGACAATGAAGCAATTAACTAGGCGAATCCCCCCTTTTATTCCGTCCTCCATTTAAGCATTATCCCCCCTTGCTCCCCTCTCGGTTTGCCATCGTCGTCATTTTCCATGGCGGCCATTGATGACGCACTTTTAGCCCTTCGCTGCTGCCGCTATCGGCCGGGGCACCTCGCTCGGATTCAGATTCGGCACTCCTGCCGGCTTGTAGTTACCGTCCCCAGCCCATACCACCCTGCAAACCACTCACAGGCCATGCATTCAATTTGATTTGGTTGCGCACCTGCTGCTCGGATGCAGTCCACCCTGGAAACCCGATTGAAAGTTGCCTGCGGCCTATGCTACACGAGAGTGCACTTCGCATTTGACCTACATTCGGGGGATCAGAGAGCGCGGGAGCTCCGATTCCGTTCTGGTTCTATGTGAACCGGAGAGCCATAGCTCCAGCTTCGGCTTTAGCTAATTAAATATGCAGCTTTACTAGGGAAACACTGCGAAGCGGCCTTCCGCTCTATCCCTGCTTATATTTCCCTTTCGATTCAGACCAACGTGGCGTATACGTGATGTGCGGCCAAAGAGCGACGCCCTCGAGGGTATGCAACACAAATAACACGATTTCAGCTTGCTATTTCACCCAGAGCACACATCACATACATAAGTAAGATATGCATATATGCATACTCAATATACATAAATATGACATGTTTTGCCAGCGATTAACACAGTGGCAAAATTCACTGAAAATGTCAAATGCAAGCACAACGAAAACAACACGAAAATGCGGGAAATCTGTCTGTCTGTTTTTCTCGCTTGCGGGCAATAAATTTAGCTGTGGAATGACACAAATGAGTGCATTTATGGACTCTCTGGCTGGCCGCTACACTCAATTTTTTGTTCATTCAGAGCAGAATCTTTAATGATCTTTAACACTAGCCATTAAACCGAACAGAGCCACAATTCACGGTCCATCGCAGAAGACCAAAAAGTTGTAAATAACTTGAGATAAAAATAGGAAAAAGCAGTGGCTTTTAGAATATGGAATTTATACTTTTTAATTTTGTACATTTTAAATAATTTTTATTTAGTTGCATTTCCCAAAAGCGTTGAGCGACTACCAAACATTATTGCATCGCATTTGGATGATTCACCCTTAGATTTTCCATCTACAGATATCTTATGTATGGAAATTATTGCACCAAAAGTTGGAATAAAACATACATAGGTGTTCTACATACATAGGTGTTCTACATTCCTGTTAATTTTGTCAACTCATGCTCCTAAAGATTATTTCCCTGCCATATGCTCTTAGCAGAGTGCAAATAGTGTTAATTTTGGTGAACGAATAATAGACTTTAAAGCAACGTATTTGTGGCAAAAGGCGCGCACTTTCCGCAAAACTATAAACACCGATGCTACATGAAATGGCAAGCGTGATTCGCGATAATTATAATAATAGCCATAACAAAACCAACAAATCCCATGAACGAAATTGCACAAATAAACAGAGTAAAGCAGGAAGATTCATCACGATGCGAGGCGCTTAACACGCTTCCCGTTGGGAGAGTCAGATGCCCCTCCTTCTCGGTTCCGTGGACCTATATCAGCCATTTCTGTTCTGTTTCTGTTCGATTCAATTCGATCCGAATCGCCTTGGGTTGCCTGTTTGGCATAAATTGTGCTGTGGGGCGAGTGATGTGCTCTGTTTTATAGATTTCCATGGCAATGGCACATACGAATACATACATATATGTACAAGTAGCATGTCGAATCGGTGCTGTCTATGACGTCGTTGGCGCTCTTGCTCACGTCACGGCAGACACGGCCAACAGCCGCACAATTTGGAAAAGTTCAAACGCGCACACTTCTCGGCCACAAATAGCCCGATGATGCTGCCCCTATTCCATACTATAACTATACTATATAGGCTACACTACACTGTATGCTAAGCATTACCCCTCCTGAATTTGTCCCGACCGACGTGCGATCTTTACACTTTTGGTCATGTGGCGATGACGTTGAACTGCCGTTCACTCGTCAAATTGGATACAATCTTATTCAATTAGGATAACTTAAGAAGATATTAATTTTCATGCTTTTCCAATGCTAATTTTTTGAGGTTTTTCATATAAAAGTGTATCACCCAACCTCTTTATAAGGGAGTACTCGAAGTACTTTTAAAAGCTAACCAAAACGTAATAAAAATCTACTTAACGTTATTTTAAAATCTGTGTTTATGTTTTCCTGTAATGCCCGTGCTGCTGGTCTTTGTTATAACAACCTCCCCAGCGGCATCAACATCGGCATAGGGATCTTCGGGGACTGACGCTTTTCCATTCAAATTTTATGGCAATTTTGAAAGTATTTTCAAAACCAGACGAAATGTATTTTTACATCAGCCGCTGCTGTGAGAGATGTTCGATGATTTGCGTTTTGCCTTTTCTCTGTTGTATTTAGTGCTCATTAATTACAACTTATTTCTATTGCTGCCGCGTTAGCAAAATTAAAACCTGATTCGCGGGCAAGGGGGAGGATGATTTTTGCAGTCCATAAAGTGGATCTATGAAAAAATAAAATTTTTGGTAGATGCCAAAAGGGATACGTGGAATTTCTATACCAAAAACTCAGTGTAATAGCCAAGTGCCTACCGATAAATCTATTAAAACTTAACAGGCAAGATGGATGCATCTCTGACCCCAAAAACTATGCATATACTTAATCAGCGTACCCAACAGAGTTGATTTTCCGTGTTGGTGTGTCCGTCAAAAGATCTCAGTGCCTATGAGACCTAGAGCTACCAAACATTAATATCTTTAATAAGCTGTTCAAAAACAAGACGCTAAGCTATAATCGCGAATTTGGTGGGATAATGAGAACTGATATTGAATAATATTTAAATATTCCAAATGCGAACCCCACTTAACGAACTTACACTTATTATTATATGATCTTTGGTACTCACCCTCGCAAATATATCCTTGCTGGATGAGGCCCCAGAGCAGATCCGAGCAGTGGTGACAGTATGTTGGCTTATGAAATGTCTTCTTCACGAATGAATGCCCACCATCCGCCATTTTGTTTGCCTGTGTCCGCTGCCCGTCCTTCCGCTTCCGGTTCCTGTCTCAGTTTCGGTTTCGGTTTCGATTTTGCCTCTGCTTTATCCTTCTCCTGTGGTTAGTGCGGCTACTGCTATGTGCGTATGTCTTGGTGCTGACTTGTGCGCTGGACTCCTCCTCCAAGTGACCGTTGCCGTGGCCGTTGCAGCTGCAATTTCAGTTGCTATTGCGCAGTGGCAGCTGCGATATCTGTTGCTGCGGCAGTCAGAACTGCAGTATATGTTGCAGGTGCAGTTGCAGCAGTGGCAATATCTGTGGCTGCTGCGTAGATGGGCTATTTCGAAGTGGGAATCTTTTGGTTGGGCAACCTAGGCGCCTGCTGCCGGTACGGGCGTCGAGGCCAGCTGTGGCAGCGCTGCCGTACCGACCGAGGGCGTGCACTTGGCGTGGGCGTGGTAGGGTGAAAATCCGGCCAGCCTGGACTGCTGCTGATCCTTCTGATCCTGCTGCTCTGGGTGCTCTGGCTCCGGCTGCTGTTCCTGTTGCTGCTGACAAAAGCGATGCGAAATGGAGTACGACGACGACGAAAGTGACGACGACGGCTGCATTTTCATCCATTGGTCAGGTGGCGGCTCCCTTATCCGGACATTTGCTTGCCGGGCTCGGTTCTCGGGCTGGTCGAGGGCTACTTGTTTTTTCCTTTCTTTTTTTAGTTTAATTTAACAATCGTTTTTGGCTGTTATATACATAGTGGCTATGCATAATTATACTTTCTTAGACTTGTGCATCTTCGATTTCAGTTAAGCGTTCGGATTTTCGGTTATTTGGTGGTGAGTTTATACTGTTAATTATTTACAATTTCTAGCGCTGCACTGAACAAAAAACAAAATTGGCATTTTAAATATGTATATTTTTCGTTATTTGCATTTATGTGTGCCATTTCATGTATTTCTTGTTGTTTTGCTTGTATTTTTTCTATATGGCACTGCACACACGTAGGCACACTTCACTCGGCGGGCGGTCTTCACTTTACTACGACGGCAGCAGCAGCAGCAGCTCGGAAAATGTTTTTCTTCGACTTGGCTCTCTCTTCGCTTCGCTTTCCGTTGCTTTCCTTTCGCCTTTCCACTTTCCGCTTTCCTGCGCTGATACGTGGGCGCCGCACCCCCCAAATAAAACAGCAGAGCCGAAAAAAAACCAAAGGCAGAAGGGAAAGCGTTTCCCGATAATAAAATCCACAAGAGCGGGAGTTTCCACGGGGAAGGCTACAGAGAGAGAAAGAAAGAGCTAGAGCGAGAGCGCGGACTGCGCAAAAGAGATGGGGAGAGAGGCACGCGTCATGCGTGGTGAGTTGGCTAAAAAAGTTCCCAGTATTCTTGGAGCACCATAAAAAAGTAGTAGACATCAATATAATAATAGAAGTGGCAAAAATATGATATCAACAGCGTGTACCGCTGGGGTAAAGAGAGTAACGAGTAAGAGGCCGAGACAGAAGAGAGAGTGAAGGCAGAGAGGAAGAGAGTGAACTGCATTGTGGATTTTCCTTTCGCTTCATTTTCATGCCTCCAAAACGCCAATCCATTAATTTCCACAACCGCGGCGCCCACGAGTATGCAACATGTTCTGCGATGATGAACCAATTACCAGCGCTACCCAGTTACCCACTTTCCCAACTTCCCTTCACCCACACCATCATCCTGCCCCTCCTGCCAAGAGCGGGGATGGCCAAGGACAATCCAGTCAAATATTATATCATACAGGTCCTAATAATAGACGGAAACAAAGGTAACGACACTTGAAGTTTTCAACTTGATGACAATAAACGACAGCTAACGGAAAACACACAAATCCACAGTGTGCATCTGTGTATATGCGAACAGTTAAGGACAAGATAATAGCAATACAGGATATAAATCCGGTCATTGTCTCCCTCTCTGTGATATTTCAGAAAAGGTATATGCTAATCTGCTGCAGAGTTGGTGCTATTCTAGCATGTTTTATATATGAGCTAAATAATAAGTTTTAGTCAAAAGAATTACCTATTATACAATTTTAACTCAAAGTTCTGTGAAAGATTTTAGACTTTGGTCCATAACATTTTGATCAGGAAACTAGATTAGTTATCATTTCGAATTTTATGGACTATATCTATATTCCATTACTTTCTTTATTTCCCGGATTAGTGATGGATTTATATTCAGTTCGACTGACTCTATTTGGAGGAATACAAAAATTATAGTAGTAAAAGCATCATAGCGGATGAATAACAAAGAATAACTCAAATATCTGATACAAACTTTTACAAATTGTTACCATTGCTAGGTGACTTAATTGATTAGAGCAACGTGAATTTAATCCTAAATCTTTAAAGTCTAAGCCATTCCTGTCTTAGGCTTTCGAATATTTATACTGATCTAATGTGGGGTTTTTTGGACATTGTTCTGACATCACTGTGAACTTTTAGACGAATTTTCAAGAAAATTAGTCCAAAGCTACATATCCTTCTACACAACATTTTGGATATTCAGTCCTATCTATATATTAATTCTTCCCAAGACACTACTCTGAACTTGAACTGAGACCCTTCTCATTGGATTATAGCCACTTTTTGCCTTTAACCTCGTTATGGAATGCGATTTGTTGCGAAAACTTGCAGCAAAGAGTTTTGAACTTGGACTTGGCTTTGGGAGCAAGTACTACTATTTGGCCCGCAACTGTGTGTGTGGAGCCAGCCTGACGACGTGGAATGTCCGTGTCCCTTGTCCATATATCCTGGCCTCCAGGCGCGCGACATGCGCAATGGGAGGTGCCCAGAGAAAACTCACCACACAGGACACCACTCGCAGCGAAAACCCAACTCCACCACAGCGGTTCAACGAAAGTGGCCAAGTTTAAGGATAAATCACAACGAGCAAGATTTTTGCAACAAATGCTGCCAAGGCAAGGTGTGGGTGGGGTGAGGGCTTTGGTTTTTCTTTCTGGGGTGTTGAAAACTTAGCGGCTTCTCTTTTTTTTCTTTGGGAAATTATTGTTTTGGTAGCCAGAAGAGCAACGAAATTATGGATGCTAATGGGGGGCCGAAAAGTACGATATATAGCTTTCGGAGGCTGTGTATGTGTACACACCGTAGACAAAGCAGCCGCACTTCGCACCCACTGGGGCCATGGTGGCGCCCACTTTCCACTCCCCCGTCCCACCCCCTGGCTTTTTCATCCCCGCATCCTCTGCTGCTTGCTGGCCAATGCTGCGCGCTTCGCTCTTTTCGGGCCGCATGAGCAAATCGCAATAGATAGAGAATTTTTTTCTTTCTTTCTGGCTGGCGCGGCTTGATTCCTTGCCACACACACACTCTTACTCGCACCCGCACTCGCACGCACACCTATCCGTGTCCTTTAATATATTTGTAAGTCCATATACGTATTTAGCCAGAGGTGTTCGAGTGGCCTTGCCTTTTTACTTTGGCAAACACTCGAAGGAGTTAATAATCGGGGAAAGTCGGAGCCAGGAAAGTTGGAGCCTGGAAAAGTCAGCACTTGGCACATATGACAACGTAATTTTCACGCACACACACTAACACACACACCCGCGCTCACTTGGAGAGAGTGAGGGAGAAAGAGAGAGCGAAATTTTATGTACCATATATTTTTGAAGCTGCAAAATTTTGCACACTTTTCGACTTTTCACACTGCTGCCGCCGCCGAGATTTTGGTTTTCATTTCGCTTGGGTTTGGTTTTGGCGTTGTTTTTGGCTGGCCATTTTTCCATTCGATTTCCCCCGCACTTCACGCACTTTTCTTTTCGTTTTTATTTTCTTTTTTTTAGGAAAGTTTCCACAGCACTTTGCAGCAAGGGGCTGCGAATTAATGAACGTTTCGCCAGAGTTTTGGCGAGTTTTCAGGCAGTTTTCTTGCTTTCTTGCGCCGCTGCTGCCAGTGTGTGTGAAAATTTTCCTGTGCTGCCTGTGGTTGTGAAAGTCCAGTGAAAATCCGCAACCGTTACGTACGGAAGAGCACACCTAGCTGCTGTGTGTGCTCCGCTGAAGACGATGGTGCGCTCTGACGCCAGGTCCGAGTCCACAGCCTACTCGCAGCTCTCGTTCGCCATCGATGCTCCTCCGCCTGGCTCCCTCATCCGGCCATCCCTCTCGCACTCGCTGCCGGGCCTGGGGGCCAATGGCGCCCTCTCCCTCTGCGGTGTGTTGAGTTGCCGTGTCGTGTGGGCCAACAACAAACAGGGGGAAATTTAAGGGATCTCCCGCTGCCGTCTCTCTCTCAGTGCCGCTCTCTGTCTCTCAGGCAGGATGCCAGCGCTTGTGCCGTCGCTCTCAATGCGGCTCTCTCCATTTCTAGCTCTCTCTCTCGCCCCCCAAATAAAAATGAAATCAACAATTTGTTGGGGGCAAAGCTGCCAACTGGTCTCCAAAATAAATGTGACCAGATCGCTTGGTGGCATAAAAAGAAACCGTTATTTAAAAGACAATTCTTTATTTCCAAAATCTGAACTTTAGTTCAGAAGAAGCCTTTAATACAATATTAAATAATTTATTTACGAAATATAATGACTACTATTCCAGTTTCAAACGTTATAAAAACTTACTCTGAACAAACTTCATATAAGAAGCACCAAAGAAAGTAAAGAGCTTTGTGTTGGATACTTTGGATACAGCAATTTCCATATATTTATATAGGGCTTTTAACTTAAAGCTATAGAGTTGAGCACACCGTCGATAAATCGTTTTGATTTGCTTATCTCTAGGTTATTCTTTACAAGTACGAATGTGTATGAGCAACCGATATTGCTGCTTTTGTAGAGTTTAAGTAAAATGTGTTGCAAATTGCATTTGCCAAGCGAACTTAGGAGAAGGTTTAACAGCACTCCTATACACGAACTTTATGCTGACACACAGGATGGTTGAATAATAATAATAATAGTAGAACCGAATATACTTTTGGGTTAAGTTGAATACAAATGCACGCATACGATTAAAATTAAGGCGACTTTAAATGGGTACAATAGATAATGTCTTTCTTGGGCTTCATTACTTAAGAGCCAACTTAGCCCAGTCCATGATCGTCGAAGAAACTCTGCGGGGTTTCGTCCTGGAACGGGAGAATGCTTAGCTTCAGTTACGTGATCTATACTTTACTTTGCTCGGAGGATAACGACAGGCAAACCAAATAAAAGCTTCGACACAGGAACTAACCCACAAAAATAGGCTATGGAAAACGGGTTATAAGAGGCAAACAACTAAAAAACAAAGGGACACCAAACGGGTGCACTAAGCCAGACAGAGGGGATAGATTGGAGAGTGGAGAGCAGAGTTCAGAGGGTAGAGGTCAGATCAGTGGAGACTAGGTCAGAGCAGTCAAACAACAGAGCAGTGAAAACAGCAAAACAACAGTCATAAATAATTAATTAAGGAAGAATACACAATTACGTTAAATACAAACTGACGATCACCAGCTCACGGTCTTACCATTATCATACTAGGCATACATATAGCATAAGATACATAGTACATTTATATTTTGCATTTTTTGGAAAATAATTTTTTATTATTTGATTTTTTTGTTCTTTACAAAACACGGAAAATTTGGCTAAAACGTACAACACACATACATAAACATACATATAATTGTAGATATACATAAACTAGACTTTATTCGGTTACCACTAAGGCATGATTATTACAATTTTCAATGATTAATCATTCTCTTTTATATTTCAACATTAAAGCTTACATGTTTCTATGGTAAGAATAGTATTGCATATATCTCCCCACTAACTAAATTAGTTATTGCCCATTTTGGTGATTGATTGGAATGATCTTTCGATTTTTTTTAATGTAGATATAGGAAGAAGAATATTAATTGAGTTGAGGAAACCCCGGATGGAACTAAGTACGTGAGGTTGGGTTGGCTTGTTTTGCATGAACTTTGCTGGATCTATTTATCTATGTGTTTGTGTGGTTTTTGCGAAAGTGTGTGCATGGAAAACCGAATGCCAGATGCTCGGAGTTTACTATCTAGTGGGATTTATTGCTTCTAGCCTCACGCTGCTTTCTTGGTTTACTTGATTTTAATTAGCGTCTCAGTGCTGTACAACAGCCAAAACACACACTATGGTATTGCGAAGTGGATAGAGCAGTGTTGGTAAGTGCCAAGTGCAGCACGCATTGTCGCCTGAGCAGTTTCTGGGGTGTATAAGTGTGTGGTGTGCTTGTGGTATCTGGGTGTGCGTGTAATATCAACTACATAAGTTCTACGGTGTTCTAGTTCTTTAGAGGAGTCCAATGTCTCTTAAAGTGCCCTCAACGGCTTCGTCCTGGAGTACAGAGAATAAGAACAATAAGAACGAGAAGAGTAGAATAGAAGGAAAGAAAGTAGTAGTAGTAGTAGTGGTGTTTGGTGGTAGTACAAGTAGTAGGTGTAAGTGTGAGTAGTTGAATGTGTCCAAAAAAGAAACCAATTTCAATCTTGTTTTGCATTTCTTTCATTTACGGCACAACTTGGGAACACGTAATGCATATAATAGGTACATATATGGATGAACATCACAGCGCAGCGCGGGGAAGGCTGGGAAATGGAAGCTGGGCAATTTACACAGACATATTATGTACAGCTGGGCGGTGGTTTGACTGATCTGACCTATCGACACTCCACTACTAAGACCCTTTGCAGATAGGGGATATTACTTTATATGTTCTTTACACTGGTTCTTTGGGATGGCTTTATGTTTTCTTTTTTTTTTTTTATCATTTAGTTGAGATACTCATTGAAGTCCTGTGGTTGTTGTTGGTGGTGGTAGTAGTTGTGTTAACATCGATTTATGCAGTGGCGGGTAGGGTAAGCGTTAATAATAACAAGAGAAAGGGTACATGGGTTACACATTTAAAAATATGTTATATATGGTATGGCAAGTATATATCGTCGTATCTAGTTAGTAATTCGGCTACAAAGGTCATGCAAAGTAATCAAGCCAACTAAAGATCGGGAGATCTCACTACAAATCGGGTAAGGAAACTAAAAAAGACTACAAATTGTACTACAACGGATGGCAAACAAAGTTAATTAGGTTTATAGTTTACTGCACAGCATCATCTATGGCAAGTTCAATACTGTGGCGATCTTCAAATAATTCCAGGTAAGTTCTCACAATTCACAATTCGCTTTCGAGACGTGTTGGCAAGTTTCGCAACTCAAGACGGCATGCAATGACAAATAAACAATTCGCTTTTTGACTGTTGTGCGTGTGTGCGGGCTAGGGTGTTTTAGATTCAGAACTTAAAGTTAATGACAATTCAGCTGCGAGTACACACACACACACGCACACTGGACTTAGGTTCTATTGCAGCGAGTAAAAGAACTCTTCTTGCTTCGAGGGTGGTTAGAGGTGTTTAGTTATTAGTTTCGATTGCACAAATTAGAGAAACAAGAACGAGAAGTAGGTAAGGTAAGAGTAGATTATAAAGTATAAAGAGAAATCCGTGATATGCGCATGAGGTATGACATTTTTGACGTTATAGATAGGCATATAAAAAATATATAGATGCGAACAAACACTAACGAACGAGGTAACGAAACTAAAAACCAGCGAGTTGAATAAATATATATGTAAAACAATTAACAATATCCGGCATAGGTATAGAGAGTGACACAACCGTTTAGGCATTACAGATCATATGTCTCGGGTGTACTGACCTCTTGGAGCAGATCCTGCGAGGCGATTGCCTTAAGTACGTTCTTCTTGGACGTCTCCTGGATCTCGCCGCCAATGAGCAGCTCGTCCAGGATAAAGTACGCCTTTTCAAAGTTGAAGATTATGTCCAGCTCACACACCTATCAAAAAGATGTGACGTTTAGTCATTTAAGGGCCTGTGTAGGTCGTTAAACGTGTTCACTTACGCTGCCAAAGTACTTATCCAACAGCTCGACGTAGCGATGGATGATCTCCAGTGTCAGCAGCTCGTTGTCGTTCTGCTCGATGGCGCAGCAGAAATACAAGCTGGCATACCTGAAAAGAAGCCGTAAGCCATGGTTGTGGTACAACTAGAGCTTGGAGAATTATATCCACTCACCTCTTGTAGACAATTTTGCAGTCCTTCCACTCTAGGAAGGAGCACATCTTGGGCTTGCGGGCCAGTATCGTGGTGACCAGCTCCCGGGTAATCTTCTTTTTCACCTTGTCCGGATAGGCCATGTACCACTTCTGAAGACGCAGCTTGCCCTGCCGACTGAACAGCAGCATGAACAGCATCTGGAATCGGAGAGCATCTTCGTTAGCCGGGAATGTGCTTTACTTTAGCGGGCCTAATCAATTTTTCATATCTTTGAGGGCCACGGAAGCCCCAATTTCCACTGACACAGTCATCGAGCGCACCCACACTGGCTCACACGCACACACACGTATTTTCACCTGGCCACCGCATCGTCAACACAAAGTCTCGCTTCCAATACGCAAATAGATCACAATTTCACTTAAACTCTTATGAGCCTTACCATTGCCAATGCTTTTCCTCTATGTGTTTAAGTGTTTTCGTGGACTAGTGTGCAAAATATAAACGAAAAACTTAATTTTCAATGAGCACAGAAAAGTCTTCTTCTTGGAGTGCTGTCATTCGCACTGCACCTGTCGACGTGTGAGGGCGAATGGCAAACTTGGTTTGAATGAATAACACAGTAGACACTGCCTAAGGGGTCCATTATTAATATATATTAATAATAATAATTAATATATATTATATATACTCTTCTTAAATTGCTTTATATCAAAAATATATTGAAATAACTGAAGCATTATTCATTATAACTTTAATTGAATATATTTTAGTTGAAAACAATTTTAACTTGTGTGGATTACAGTAAAGCCTACAGATATAGTTAAGCTTAATATATAATACATTTTTACAAGCCTAAAGATATTATTCTTTTACATTACGAATTTATTTATGCTTAAATTAAATTAATATTATTAATAACAATATAATTTATTATAAATCAGCCAATATCGAGCTCCCCTGTACTTGCAACTGTGCGATAGTTGTCTTTCACAGCGAACTATCGGCATGCAATTGCAGGCAACTTGTCCCATCTCTATTATACGTAGCAGCTGGCGGTACTCGTGCCGTTTTTGAGGCGAGGAATTTTCATCACTCGAATTTAGAAATTGCAAGCGAAATTGCAACGTCCAGACTCAGCGACCATGTCGATAAAGCTCAAAGCGAACCTCAACAACCCACCCATAAGTAAGTTAAGAGCGGCGGCCGGCTGCAGTGACCTTCTTTGCCCGGAAGATGTCTGCAGGTTGTGAGGTTATATCCGGCGGTCTATTTATGTACACAATTTATCATGAATCCAGTGATATTGCATCAGTTTCGTATCGCACCGTGTGATATTAATTGACTCATTTACGATTGTAGGTGGCTTGGCGACGGCGCTCCTTATCAATGGCACCGTGCCCGTGGAGATTGTGTGGAGCAAGGAGGAGACCTCGCTGCAGTTTCCCGACGGCCGCCTGCTGGTGTGCCACTCCAACAACGACGTGCTCCGCGCTCTTGCGCGCTCCGCTCCCGACTACAAGTTGTACGGAGAGACGGCCATTGAGCGGACACAGATCGACCACTGGCTCTCGTTCTCGCTGACCTGCGAGGATGACATCTCCTGGGCGCTGTCGTTCCTGGACAAGTCCATTGCCCCGGTCACTTATTTGGTGGCCAATAAGCTGACCATTGCCGATTTTGCACTGTTCAACGAGATGCATTCGCGCTACGAGTTCCTGGCTTCCAAGGGCATCCCGCAACACGTTCAGCGCTGGTATGACCTCATCACCGCCCAGCCGCTGATCCAGAAGGTCCTCCAATCGCTGCCCGAGGGAGCGCGCGTTAAGAGGAGCCCGCAGGCCTCCAAGGAGCAGACGCCGGCCAAGAGTGGCGAGCGCAAGCAGGAGGGCAAGTTCGTGGAACTGCCCGGAGCGGAGATGGGCAAGGTGGTGGTCCGTTTCCCGCCAGAGGCCTCCGGATACTTGCACATTGGCCACGCCAAGGCGGCGCTGTTGAACCAGTACTACGCCTTGGCCTTCCAGGGCACCCTCATCATGCGCTTCGATGACACGAATCCTGCCAAGGAGACCGTTGAGTTCGAGAACGTCATTCTCGGAGATCTGGAGCAGCTGCAGATTAAGCCAGACCTGTTTACGCACACCTCCAACTACTTTGACCTGATGCTGGACTACTGCGTCCAGCTGATCAAGGAAAGCAAGGCCTACGTGGACGACACGCCGCCAGAGCAGATGAAGCTGGAGCGCGAACAGCGCGTCGAGTCGGCCAATCGATCCAACTGTAAGTTTATCTCTTATGTTCTTTACAGTCTTAGCTAAAATCGATTAATTTTCCCTTTTAGCCGTTGAAAAGAATCTTTCGCTGTGGCAGGAGATGCTGAAGGGCTCGGAGAGCGGCCAGAAGTGTTGCGTGCGCGCAAAGATCGACATGTCCTCGCCCAACGGCTGCATGCGCGATCCCACCATCTATCGCTGCAAGAATGAGCCACATCCCCGCACGGGAACAAAATACAAGTGAGCTTAAAAAACTAACGATGCAAACATTTTATATAATTCTTAATTATTTGCAGGGTCTATCCCACGTACGACTTTGCCTGTCCCATTGTGGACGCCATTGAGAATGTGACCCACACGCTGCGCACCATGGAGTACCACGATCGCGACGATCAGTTCTACTGGTTCATCGATGCTTTGAAGCTGCGGAAACCCTACATCTGGGAGTACAGTCGCTTGAACATGACCAACACAGTGCTATCGAAGCGGAAGCTAACCTGGTTTGTGGAATCTGGCCTGGTTGATGGCTGGGACGATCCTCGCTTTCCCACAGTGCGCGGCATCATTCGACGCGGCATGACCGTGGAGGGCTTGAAGGAGTTTATCATCGCCCAGGGCAGCAGCAAGTCGGTTGTCTTCATGAACTGGGACAAGATCTGGGCGTTCAACAAGAAGGTCATTGATCCCATTGCTCCCCGCTACACGGCCTTAGAGAAGGAGAGGCGGGTGATCGTTAATGTGGCTGGTGCCAAGGTCGAGAAGATCCAGGTATCCGTTCATCCCAAGGACGAGTCGCTGGGCAAGAAGACTGTCCTGCTGGGTCCCCGTATCTACATCGACTACGTGGATGCCGAGGCCCTCAAGGAGGGTGAGAATGCCACCTTCATCAACTGGGGCAACATTCTGATCAAGAAGGTTCACAAGGATACTGCGGGCAACATCACCTCTGTGGACGCGGCTCTCAATCTGGACAACAAGGACTTCAAGAAGACCCTGAAGCTAACCTGGCTGGCTGTGGAAGACGATGCCTCTGCCTATCCGCCAACGTTCTGCGTTTACTTCGACAACATCATCAGCAAGGCTGTTCTGGGCAAGGACGAGGACTTTAAACAGTACATTGGGCACAAGACTCGCGATGAGGTGGCCATGCTGGGCGATCCCGAACTTAAGAAATGCAAGAAGGGCGATATTATTCAGTTGCAGCGTCGTGGCTTCTTCAAGGTGGACAATGCCTATGCCCCGCCAAGTCCCTACTCGGGTGTTACCTCGCCCATTATCCTGTTCTCAATTCCGGATGGACACACCAAGGATGTGCCCACGTCGGGCCTAAAGATCAATGCGCCGGCGGATGCCAAGACTGCGGTAAGTTGAGCTTAGCTTTTTTTTAAATTATAACACAGGTGAACAAAATTTGAAAAAATGTCAGAACCAAGAACCAGAATAAACTTTTCCGAAGGTTTTTGATTAGCTAAACTTGAATCCGGGCTTAGAAATTTTCAAAAAAGTGCCAAATGTACGGTTTTTTGGGTACTATTGAGGTGTATTTAACTTGAATACGATTTTGTTTAATCTATCTTTAAGTTATTATAAAAAACTTTTTTTGCGCTTCAAAATCTTTTTTTAAAATTTGAAAATAATACATTCAATTCGACACACTCAAAAATATATGGAAAAATATTGATATAAATTCAAGAGACTAAATTTCGGGACCAATAACAAATTTTCCAAATTAAAAAAACTGATTTTTAAGGGCAAGAACAGTACTTTATAATAACTCAATTGTTATTGTTTATCCAAAGACATTAAAATTCTTAATTCTTAATTAATTCTTAGAATTCTAGTGTCTTTGGTCTATCTATATATAATTTCTTGATAAGCTGATTTGTATACCCCATTCTGTGTATTCTAATTTAGTTAAATTATTATTATTTCAACGCAGTGACATTGCTAATACTGATCACTTTGTAGGACCGCATAATCTCCTTTACTAAGTTGATAACTTCCCACTAAACATATATTTCCCTTTCCAAGATTTATAGTGGGTAGAGTATTTTCAATACGTCTTAAATGAAAGCACATCCCCTTATCTTCTTGTTTAACACATTTTAACATAAACATACTTACATATAAACAGCCCAATCAGCTGTTTAAAAGCGGTCTCTTTACCCTCGCTCAGTGGCTCTTTCCCTTTCTCTTAATGAAGTGCCGCGTTGCTTGGCCACAATCTTCAGTTTTGGGCCGAAAACCAGTTGTTTGCTGAACCACCAAGCGTGCGTATCGTTTTCGTTTCGGGCTCTTTTCCTTTGCTGTAAGAGATTCGAGAAGAAGAGGCTTTTAATAATGCATGTGTCGCCCTTGCTGACGTAGCCAATAAGAAAATACAAATTTTAATTAAAAGCTGATGACGTTGCATTGACCTAAAACTTTGCTAATTTATTTAATACAACGTCTAATCATTGCAGAAAAAGGCATCCTCACCTGCTAAATCCAACGACAAGGCTTCTGAATTGGACAAACAAATTTGCCAGCAAGGCGATGTGGTGCGTGATCTGAAGTCCAAGAAGGCAGCCAAGGATCAAGTCGACGCTGAGGTAAAAAAACTGCTCTCCCTGAAAGCTGACTACAAAGCAGCCACAGGCAAGGACTGGAAACCAGGACAAACTCCTGCAGCTGCACCTGCTACCGCTCCCACTGCTTCCTCCAACGACGCAGCTTCCGTTAATGCCAGCATAGTGAAGCAGGGAGATCTAGTAAGAGACCTGAAGGGAAAGAAGGCTGCCAAGCCAGAGATAGACGCCGCTGTTAAGACGCTCCTAGAACTGAAAGCTCAGTACAAATCCCTTTTTGGCCAGGATTGGAAACCCGGCACTGTGCCGACCGCCCCCACTGCCACGACTGCCAACGATTCGGTCGCTCAGATCCTCAGCCAAATCACTGCCCAGGGCGACAAGGTTCGTGAACTGAAGGCAGCTAAAGCCGATAAGGCCACCGTTGATGCTGCTGTAAAAACGCTGCTCGGCTTGAAGGCGGACTACAAGGCAGCCACTGGCAGCGACTGGAAGCCCGGCACCACAGCTCCAGCTCCAGCTGCAACAGCAGCAGCGGCTCCCCCAAAGGTCAAGCAGGAAAAAAACGCGGATCCAGCTCCTGCCGGTGCTGTGCACGCATTGCTTGACAAGATCGCGCAGCAGGGCGATAAGATCCGTCAACTGAAGTCGGCCAAATCTGAGAAATCCCTGGTGGAGGCCGAAGTCAAGCTTTTGCTGGCCCTGAAAACCGACTATAAATCCCTGACTGGTCAGGAGTGGAAGCCA